AATTGCACCTATGGGAACTGCAGTCGTGCCCATGGAAGCCATGGTCGCGGACGTTGAGGCCACGCCAGCGAAAATTGCTGCTTCGTGCAACACAGGGGCGGCCACCGTGCACGAGCCACCCCGTGCTTGGACGTGGACCTGTTAGGGAGGACCTTCCTCTCCTTGGCCAAATGACGAGCCTACCAAGTAGTCAATAGGTCACCACGACCCTATTCGCCAAACAATGAAATTGAGCCCATCGTAGAGGAGTCGCCATTAACTCAAAAATGTAGGCGATGACCTTAGGGTCTAAGAATAATCCCCCACCCATTTCCCTCCCGGAAATGTAACATCCCAACACTATTGACAACCCGTTGAGAACCAATTGGGTTGGAGCCAAATAAAAATAACTTAGAAGATGTTGAACAATGAGATGCAAAGGCAACATGACTCTATATTGTAGCATCTTGACGTAAAGAGTCACCTTGCCTGGTGGTGGGTCGGTCATGCGTTATCCATCGCGGGGAATGCGCATCTACATAGAGCTAGTCTGGGATCCCATACTAAGTACAAAGTCACTCCAAGTCGTCCTCTATCATTGAGGATCGCACCCAAGATGACTCTGTCGGTGTGGCCTAAACAGAAATCACAGGGTCTTTTTCCCCTTCCTAATACTCCTACCTGTGAAGGAGGCAACGATGAGAAAATACGTTTCGACTCCCCCGAAGCATCAAATGACTCCAAAAACGATTCTATTGGAGCCCACCCGACGATGTTCTCCAATTCTGACATTACTAAATAAAAAATAAATAAAATGAGCCTTACTGAAAAAGAAAGATACAGAGAGGAGTGGTGGTTCATCGAGGATTTCTTTGCCAATGTAAAAAGTTGTGCACGTGTAGGCAATACGGCCTACACCTTCGTAGCTGCACTGGCTGCATCTCTATAACCCCATTGTCATTGCTACCTCCAGCCTCACCCGATCTCGTATCATGGCCGCACCTTATCACTCATCTACACTTCACGAGAACAAAATCACTCCCAACACTGAAGCCTTTTCTATGCAACGAGCCGGACTTCGACGTGGGAGTAGGGGTGGTATTGTTGTGTGTGGGCTTCGTGAGTTGGATGTCCCTATCCACACTCTGTCTCTTCTCTACTTGAGGAACCACACCCTCCCTCCGCACTCTCTCTCTCTCTTCCTGAGGGACCTCACCAGCGAGCGACCCAATATAACGAGCACAGTCGCAGCCACGCCCCCCCTTTCTTGAAGGGTTGTACCTACGCACGGTCCATGCAGTCAAGCCCCTCTCCTTAACAGGCCACGCAGCGGGCACATCACGACAGCCGCACCCAACTGCCCACACCCCTGCAACACCAGGGCGACCCCTTGTGGCTGTCAGGGTACTACGATGACAAGCATGATCTGACTCCCAAAGTAGCTTGGAGAAGAAGAAAGAAACCCTTATAAATGCAGGGGTCCCCCAAGCAAATGAGGTAACTCACTTCTATTGGGATAATTGAACCAAAATAGGAAACTCTCCTATGAAGAAAATGATTATAATATTGTTTTTCGTATAAGGATTAGCATATTTGGCCTCATATAAATAGAGCCTTCTATTTAGATTTTGTTTGTGTGTTGCTGCAGATGAAAGTGGCAGCTGAATGTGTGAGTGTACAAATTTTCAAAGGGCAGCGGTAGTAGTACTTGGCAGAGTTTCAGAGGCGAGATCCCGGAGTTGTAGAGCATCGTCAGCAATCTATTCTCGTGGGTATTTGGTAAGGCTTTTCATTCCTGTTTCCTAGGATTCTATTGTTATTCCTAGAAGCTAGGTGACTTTTGCCGGTGCCTCTCGATTTAAGAGATTATTGTATTTGTTATTATCTCAATATCATAATGGAATCCATTGCCATGGAACGCTGGACGTAGCCCGTAGTTGGGGTGAACTAATATAAATCTTTTGTGTCGTTTACTGCATTTTCCTTATACTTCTTTTCTTGTGTGATTGATTTAGTTTTCACTGAAGAACTGTGGAAGGAAAAAATATTCTTGGTAAATAATTTGCCCAACAACTTCTTGTGTCGGGTTTGGTCTCTTAAGCTTTTCACTTACTTAAGCTTCAGAGCGGGTTATGCTGGCATCATGCCGACATTAGCTCACTCTTCTCTTTTATGCAGGTCATCCTTTATCCGATCATTCGAGTCAAGAATTTGTTGTTCCCCTATCCACAACTCGACGTGTCAAATTCGAACCATCCGATTCAATTGGCCTCCCTAAATTACATTTGAATAGGTACTCAAATCCAAATTCAAAGAGTGAATGGAAAGATCAAGTTTGAAATTAACAAAAGAAATCTAAAATCACGTCTGATCTAAGTTTAAAAATGATGCCAAAACCAAATTGAAAAGAAAGGTAGATTCTAAAATCCTATATTATTTAAGGGATTTAATAGATATCATTTAAGATAGTTGATTTCTCTTGTTTATAAGGGTAAAAAGAAGCTAAATTGGTATTGTTTTCTAACGATTTACATTAAAGGACCATATTTTAAACTTATTATAGTGTCCAAAACCTTTCATTTGAAGTTATCTTAGGTTATACACGCATATAGGACATTTTTAATCATTTAGAGTTGATTTCTAACGAAAATTACAATTTTGTGCAAAAAAAATCAAAGCTAGGCACTTGTCCAATTCCGAGATTGCCCTCAATGTAAAACACAAGTTTTTGTGTGTTTTGAAGCTTCCCCAAGCCCCGTGTCTTCCTTCATGTTAGTCAATTCAACAACAAACTAACTAAAAGATGTGTAAAGGGATGACTCTCCATGAAAGTCTCAACCTCCTAACCAACTTGAAGCTCCCTATAAATACTCTTCATTCATCATCGAAAGTGATCATTTTCAGTTTTAGACACTTTACTCTCAGTTTACTTACGTTTTCCCTTTAAGTTTTGAGTTATTATTGTTTTAAACGGTGCTTATTTCAAGTTCATCCTTTATTTTCCAGCTTGTCATTCTTGAATTGTAAGTTTGATCTTATTTAATTAAAATTACAGCAAGTTCTTTGATATTCATCTCTCTCTCTCATTACGAAGTTGTAATCACATAATCTTGTGGAATCGACCGAGTATTGCTCCCCAATCTTAAAAGATAATGGGTTAGGGTCATTCAGGTTACAACTCCACCATTTTCGGCTTGTTTAAATTCTATTCATCTTTTAATCATGTCCCTTATTTACATCAATGTTAAATTATGTTTTTCTTTTAAAGTTATGACCTAAATTTATTTTTTCCAAGCCCGGTTATAGAAAGTAAGCTAAAGTTTTTAAAATCCAACAAGGCAAAAGGTGTTTTTCTCTTCTTTTATCACTTAAGGTTGTTTTCATAAGTTAAAACTTGATTTGGCCAATTAACGTTTTAACCCAAGCATCACTACTGAAAGGGTTGATACTTTTCACAACTTTAATGATTTAACTTTAGAGAGAAATACTTTAGACATAAATATTTCGCTCGGGTAGTAGTCTATACATAGGACCTCGACCTAAGGTTACGGTTGGTTTTTATTAAATTAAGTTCAATTTTCTAATAGACATATTAGGGATGAACTTATACCTTCAAAATCACTTAGACATAAGAAGATGGCGAAGCAAAAGCGATGAAAAATAGTGAGAGGTGCCGGCACCTAGTTGGAAAAAATTCTCGTATTTTTAGCTAATTCTAAATAACTGGCCTCAATTTATTGCATTGAGCTTTAAAATACCAAAATCAACATTACCCTTGATATTTGTTACCACAAATTCAATTGCAAAGTCACCGATCAACATCATTTTCATTAAAAAGACTTCGTTTGTCCCTAAGGATCGATATTCTGAATACTCATTCTGTTTTACTACTTGTGACGGGTGTACACTTGCGCTCTATCATTTATTCTTATTCCAAAATCCCGAATAATAGCTCTAGAACAAACACACTCAACTGTGGAGTTATTATGATTGGGCCACTGAAATAAAGGTGCAACGTTGTTTGTATAGGTAGCTATTATCGATTCTTTCAAGTCTTTCTTAATCATACTTGCATAGTCTCATAATTCTTCTGTGACGCCTGAGTAGAGAGAGGAGGGGTACATTAATGAACCAATACCACATTCGAATGAGGGGATCCTGAGATCATGGAAGAATGGTCAAGAAAGACCTAAAAGAATTGTTAATTACTACCTATACTAATAAAGTGCACATTTTTTTCAGTAACTCAATCGTAAGAACTCCAAAATTAACCGTATTTGACTTAGAATAATCTTCGGCTGGGTGACCAAGTAGTTTAGAACTGGAATACTAGAACGATTAGGGCCACACCTTATCATTGGTTTATTCTTGTACCCTTCCTTTACTTGGGTGTCACAGTTAACAAGTTTTTCTTCCTACTTTTTGCTCTCATATGACCATGATGTTAACATAAAAGCTTCAATAATCTTATTAAACTCCCAAATAAGGGAAAATAAAAAGGCACAAACTAAGAAGCTTTCATTCATGACTAATACAAAGAAGAGAAAACTTAATTAGAAACTTGAGATGATGAATGACATATTACAAACCAAAACACAAACAAGAGAGAGACAATATATATATTCCCATACAGATAGTTGCAGCTGGCTTCATGAGAAATTCAATGAAACCCATGTCCTTTATAACATGGCCAATTGTTGTATATTAATGGGATATGCATATGCTCTTGAAGAGGAGCTGAATGCCATCTTGGCCAACACTATATTTGCATCCTCTGTGGGATGGAATGCGTCCCAAAACAAGTAGCCTCGTCGATCCTGGCACGGCTGCTGCAGAGGGAGGCATGTTATTTGCCCATTGTTTCTGCCCACTCCACAACATCCCTTGTCCACCACTGTGAACCCTATTCATCATTATTCATAAACAACAACCATATATATTAACAATAATTCATGTGTAATTATCAGTCTCTATTGTTCAAAAAAAAATTAATTGAGTACTTTAAGTTTAAATATTTTTCGATTATATCATTTTTGTGTTAATGTTAAAATTATCTTATGATGAAGCTTGCATAACATGAGACTTAACCGGTTGAAAGAAATTTAGAAGAGAAATTAAGGGTTTGTTTGGTAAAAGACTTAATCATTTTCTTGTCTGGTTTCTTCATATTTTTAATAAATAATGAATTGCATGACCCAAACGTCCATGAATTCAAGTATGATAAGACAATCTTTTTTATTTATGTTTTGGAACAAAATTGGAAATGGGAACAAGAAAAGAAGGGCCCGTTTGGTAACATTCTGATTTCTTGTTTCTCATTTCCAATTTTCTTAAAAAATCTAAGTATTTTACAAATTTGTTTCTTGTTTCTCCTTTTTTTGGGAACATTCCCACAATTGTATTCTTTGAGGTTGAAACCATGTAACACAGTTTTCTTCATTAAAAATAAAGAAACAGAAACAAGAAACAGGAACGTTACTAAACGAACCATTAGAAACTTGTCTTTGTTGTTTCTAAAATTTATATACAATTTTGAGAATGTTCAAAAAAATAAGAAACAATAAACATAGCGAATTGCAAAATGCTTAGATTTCTTAAGAAAGGTAGAAACGAGAAACAAGAAACTTGCCAAACGGACTCTAAGCAACCTAAGAAAATGAAAAGTTTCTAACTCTACCTCTAAATTTTTAAACCTTTGCATATCTTTGATGGTCTAATTGGTTCTCTAAATTTCTATCTATTGGGGACTAAATTGAAAAAACGCTCAAACAATATAGTTATATACTAAAACATATGTTTAACTTTGATTTTATATTACAAAAATACAAGAAAGAAAAGCAAATTAAAAAGACGAACAAATGAAAGAAGGCCCACTTTTGAGGGAAAACTACATATTCCAAAGTTAAAATCATTTTAAATTAGAAAACAAAATGAATGAGCATAAGTATGTTTACTTTTTCCAAAGGATCCCATGAATGTAGTATTCCAAAAAGTTCAAAATTTTGAGATTCAATACCATAATTGGAGGCATTTTGAATCAAGTCGATGTTGCTTTGGTAGGCATCAAGGTACACAAACTTAGCACCGGGAAGAACACGGCCACTATTGAAACGATCGACAAGTTTCCGAAGGCCAGCGTTGAAAAGACTGATCGCGCCGTTGATCTCTTCATTGCAACGACTGCTATTACCTTGATATCTCGCAAGCTCGTAAGGAATGCAGCCGATCTGCCCAACCCCAGTCACGACCACTTTCCGAGCTCCAAATTGGTACATTTGCTGCATCAAAAAGTTCAACTTTTTTAACTTTCAAGTTCAAACAAAGTGGTAAGACCACACTACCACCAGACCTCACTAATCTTAGCCAGATCTAATTTCTTCTTCTTTTTCTTACTAGATGCTTGCTTGAACTTATTGGGTTCAGACATCTTACTCTAAGTTGGCGAGCGTAGTCTTGGAGCAGCGCAGCGGCATAGGCTTGAGGAGTAAATTGAGATTTGGTGTTGTAGAAATCAGTCATGAAGTAATTGTTGAGATAGTCATTGCTTCCCATGCCTGAGTAGAAAATGCATTTGCTTAGATAGCAGCTGAGTGCTTCAGTGTCTCCTCTGAAGAACCTACTCATTTCTTGCACCGTTCTTCCAAAGTTCTCCACTTGGTTGTTCATTGATAAATGAGCACCCTTTGAATTCAAGACAAAATTACAAACTAATTAGGGACTTTTTTAAGAATAGTTATATGTTTTTAATAATGTCAAATAAATTGTATGATTACCAAATTGTTTCCAGTTTCATCTCGAATTCCTGCTGCTCCTGAGGCATAGTTGACTCCTCTGAGAAGGGCTCTACCTTGTGTTCTACTGTATGGAGGAATGAAATACCGAAATCCCAATAGCTGAGCTGTAAACATATAATATAGTAGTTGTTCATTCAAACCATTAATGCTCAAGAGATTCATAATATCTCCCAAAAATATCCTTCGACCATCAAACAAACAAGTAAATATTGGACAAAAGTTAAGTGCTTAAACAACTCAACTAAGCTAGCTAAAAATCACCCAACATGACAGGATCGAACAATTGTTCCTCCTATAAAAAGTCTCATCACAAGAGTGCTCATAGCTAGTCACAATTCTTTTAAGAAAAAAAAAATTGAAAACTCAACTAATAAAGTGTAGGCATCTTTGCTATGTAAGTACATGGGGAAAATGATATATTTAGATGTTTACCAGCGACTAGAAACCTCATACTTACCTCTATTAAAAAATTGACAACCAGATAAATAACTATCATTTTTTTTCTTTTTAACAGTTGTAAGTAGGTGGTTTTTTATAGTCTCAAGGAATAGCTTGGGTAGTTTGAGATTTTGTGTTTAAGTCTCACATGGAATGCAACTCTACGAAATAATAACCCCTTATGTATTTATGGGTATGGAGACAATGCAGTAGTCACTATGAATATAGATCCTCGTCAGTCAATTGTGAATTTTTTTTTTAAATAATGATAAGATAGGTAATTAATATACTTGGCTCTTAAACAGTGGGATTACTCCTTATCATTACTATCATTAAATATTTGACAACTACTAACCAAGTATTTTCAATTTTTTGACGGCAAAACTAGAAAGTAGAAGGTATCTAATAAAGGGTTGGATTTGAAGGGATATTATTTTAGTTTACCTAAAACATCAACAAAAGTTCGACCATTAGTGAAGCGGCCGGTGGTGCCCCGAGGGAAATCGACGCCATAAGGCCTATAGTTGGCTCTCGCAAGCGTAAGCAACTGATTGTTATTCCCATTATCCACCAAAGAGTCGCCAAATATGAACAACCCGGGGACTCCCCCGCCCGGCTCCGCCTGCGAGCAAGCCCTCGGCGGACTCCAACACAGACAAATCGTCAACAGCACGGCGCCCAGAACCAGCGGCTCAATTCTCCTCTGCATCGCCATGTTTACTTTCGTAATCTTCTTCCCAAGCCACTGCCATTTATAGGGCTTCGATCATTATCTGCCCACTGGGTCGTCCCATTGATGGAGTTCTCATGTTTCTGCAACAATGGCGGAAGTGGAAGAAGTTACTTTTTGCTATGGCTGTCCTGTTTTTGTTTTGTTGGGAACAGCGGTGGTGGGGCGGAGATGTTGCAGTTTCTCGTGATACGGCTGCTAGTTGGAGATGGATTTTCTTATGAGAATTTTAATTGAGGATGAAGAGAGAGGACGAGTCCTGTTGGGGCTAGTTGGAGATGGATCTTCATGGTGACAGCCCCCGGTACTATTTTCTTACTTTTTTTTTTTGAACTGGTAGCAGTACTTTACTCCCTCGTATCTCCAAATTGTTCAGGAAGGGAATTGATAGAGGGAGAAAAGTGGTAGTTGGATTTGGAATTTGGGATTTAAGACCTTTTAGTTCCCATGCTTACTTGAATAAATTGAGAATAATAAAACCACAAACAAGAAGCAATTGTCAATCTCAGAGAATTGTTTTTTTTTTATGGTTTGGGTTTGATTATTCTGAGTTTGATTTTTGTGTATGTGAATGACATAATGATGACCGGTGCATCTTCCTCTTCCTTTGAAAGCTCATATTCATCATGCTGTTTTTAAACTTTGGGTTGGGAGTTGGCTCGTTCTATCCCTGTGAAATTATTATACATTTTCTGGTGGTTCATATATTGCCTTTGCTGTCATAAAACTTTACTTAAAAGCATCTCCTGGCCAACGTATTTTGTTACATCCTTCTTCATTTTAGCATTGAACTGTCATTTCAATCACCAAACCTTTTTTGTTGTCCAAGATGAGTATTTCTGATTACTCTACTTGTACTTTTATGGCCTTTCTTGTTAGGTACATCTCTTGACAAAAAGTTAGGAAAAAAAGGTTATTTTATTTATTACGAAAATGTGTGTTTACAGAAAGGGAACCCCTGCCTTTATAAAATAGGCTAGGGCTGTGGGAAATAGGAACTCATTACATTGATTGCCATCTAAGTAAAGATTAAATCACTCTAGCTAAACCTGAACAACACTATACAAAATAAACTTATAATTACAAATTTACAACCTAACATCACACCTCTAGTAGAACACACTGGTCTTCAAGCCAGGCATTGAAATTGAGGATCCAGCTTTGCACTAGTCTCAACAATCTTTCCGACCATGATGCTCGACACTGCTGCAGTTATGCAGAAGAACAAAGCAGCACATCAACAGAAATAACTATTGAATGTCTCCTAATAATAAGCATCATCAAAATGAACATATCAAAAAAATGGGGTAAGAAAACTGCCTACCTGGCCAAAGCAAATGACAATTTGATTTTGAGGCTCCCCATCCAAATCAGCATCATCTTCCAAATCTAGTTGAAATTCCACAATTCGGCGAAGTTGGAGCTCTAGAACAGTCTCTCCCTGGTCTTGCTATCGTTCTCCAGTATTTCCAAATATTCTCTCCGGTGTAAAACTACCGGCCAACAATTTCTCACCAGCCAAAGAGCCATGAATGCAGGTATGGAGTTGGAGTTTATACAGCAAATCAATGAATATCCAAAACAAAAGCCCATTTGCATAATCATCTTTCTATGTGGATAAACATGCTGGCAGCAGAAGTATTATTCCATTAATCACAATGTCAAACACATAAATTCAGAGAGTTTTTATAACAGAATTTACATTAAAGCTGTGTAACAGAGGCAGCAAAAACTTTGTACAACATAGTTTTATCTTAAAACTCTATAAATGTCACTAGACCACAATTCTTCAGTGATGGAAGTTGCGGAAGTTAATAATTTTCCAATATTAAAAGGTTATGCTTGACAATATGAAACTCACTAGTGCAGGACATATTGACATCTCCAACGAGTTGGGTCAATACAAAAATATGATATGATTCAAAATTTGTCACATTGACATCCCATTACACAACTTCAAAACATGATATAATTCAAAATTTGTTCTCCACTAGTTCCATATATTATCTCTGACCAACAATTTCACACCAGACGAAGAGCCAAGAATGGAGGTACAGGTTGGAGTTTCTACAGCATATCAAAGAATATCCAAAATAAAAGCCCATTTGAATCATCTCTATGTTGGCTAAACAGAAGTGTTGCACATAACAGAGTCTGCATAAAAGTTGTGCAACAGAGTCAACGTAAACTTTGTATAACATAGTTTTATCTTAAGGTTATGCTCACTCGTGCAGGACATATTGACATCTTGAGTAGTCGAGTTGGACTATGCATTAGAAGATAACTTTAAAAGACGATATAATTCAAAATTTGTACCTTAAAGTTGAAGTCTCATGATCCATTCAGTTGCTGCACACACTCCTTTTAGTTTGTTTGTACGTTGTTTGAATAGTGGACTGAGGAAAGTCTGAGCAAAAATATAGAAAATGGGAGAGAGAGAGAGAGACAGAGAGAGAGAGAGAGAGAGGGTGGGGAGGAAGAGCCGGGCAAAAATAGTAAAATGACCCCGTGCCATCCCCTCCCCAAGACACCCAAAAAACGAAACTTTTATTGATGTATTTTGACCTGCCAAGCAAGCGCACCTGTCATGGCAAAGGTCAACTACATGACAACAAAGCTTCACACATATACCTTTCCATCACTCCACAAGGCTTGGCAACAAGCACAGGTTCTTCAATAGTTAAAAGCACCAGCAACTTCTTTTTTAAGAAGTCCAATGTTCAATCCCCACCCCCCCACAATATACATCATCCTCCTATAACCAGATACTTCATAAGAATTTAATCGCTTTAAAATGTTGGGTTGAAGGAATTCCCGCCAATCTTCGAAAGAACTCTGCAAAATAGCATGATAACTTCAATTGGCCAGAAGTAATATACAAGAAAGCATAATAGAGTTTATGGGGAGGGTGCAAATTGAGAGGGGTTGAAAAGAATGCAAAATAGGCTCGTAATAACAACGTAGAACAATTCAAGAAACAAAAACCATAATCTGGAAAAGAGGAATCAGAAATGGCCATACCAAAACAGAATCAAAATCTTGGAGCTTTCAAGCCGGTTATCGTTCTCCTTCTTTCCCTTACAAATTTCGTTTCAAGAAAACCACTGCGAACAACTCCATCTCCGGCTGTAACGGAATTCAAATCTACGCAAGAATTCATGATGATCATCGCGTGCTTATCAGAATCGAGAGCGATTGGAAGAATTTCATAGACAATCGATCAATTTCAGCGATGAAACTGACGATCTTAAACGCAGACAATAACGAAACGAAGAATCGCTTGAGCATAAGGATGTCGCGTTCACCGATTTTCTTGGCGTCGGGATCTCTTCTTGAACACTGATAAAAAACAGAAAAGAACCCCAATCTGGGGAAAAAGAAAAGGAAAGCCGAATCAAGAAACAAGATTCACACATAAAAAAAGGAAAAATAGAAACCTATTATCTGAGAAAAGAAAACAATTAAGCAGAATCCGAAGCGGGAGTACCTTGATCAAAACAGCCGAATTCTATAAACCCTAAGCCCGAGAGAAAAGTTTGATTTACCATATTCGATCTGTTGATTCTGGAGAAATCGAAAGTCAATTTTGAAGAAGAGAACACAATGATCCAATGAAGAGGATGAATCCAAACGCTCGCTAATTAGAAATCTCCCCGATGATTGTCGACGAAGCAATCTCTGGGTATTTATAGCGAAAGACTCGTGGAATCTTAACAAAAAAAAAATCGTTTTCAGTTGAGATTTCTCTATTAAATAACCAATAGTAAGATTTGGGGATTTAGGGCCATTTCACTCCCCTCCACTCTCTTTTTAAAATTGCTTTAGATTAGAGACTAAATACTTAGACGTCCAGTGACATCACCCAAAAATCGATAATCGTTATGGTGCCAACCTACCTTTAAAATTACTTTAGATTAGAGACTAAATACTTAGACGTCCAGTGACATTGCCCAAAAATCGATTATCGTTATGGTGCCAACCTACCATAGATGTTAAGTCAGAGTTTGGACATAAGCATTGTAAAAATAGGAAGAGAAGGACATATTGGTGTATTTGAATGGCTGTAATCTCTTGTATTCATAGACATCTTGTAATGATGACATTCCTAACAGATGGGACCCACCTCGTCACGGGCTACCTGATGATCAAACCAAGCTAAGTGGGATCAATCAGGTCTTTGTGACCGAGGTGAGTTCCACACTCAAGCTGAGGTGGGTCTGACCAGGTCTAATGGTCGAGGTGAGTTCCACACTCACTCACTAAAGCGAATGCCTAGTGATTTTGAGCTCTTCTAATCAGCTCATCCCTTCAAAGGAAGACTTTGTGATTATTAGCTTTTCTGGTCAGCTCACCCATCACAGTATAGCCCACAATTTCGAGTTGGGTGGACTAATTAAGTCGTTATTTTTTTAATTGTATTTTTTTTAGGTGAAGACTTACCTAGCTTCGGAAGTAGTATCTTTAGCTCAACCGTACAAGTCCTAACCACTATTGAGCTTTGTCTTTTGATCATCGAGCTCAAAGTCTATGTGTTATGTCTCAGTGTATAACATGTAAGTCTAAACGTGATAAAAAAATTAGAAAAGCTAGAAAAAAGAGCTTAAGGAAGAACGGGGTGAATAGCTTAGGTAAAAACGAGCTCATCCTGATGGGCTCATTCCTTTTGGAAGCAAGAGCTCAAACAAGAATAGGGGTGAAGAGTTAATATAGAAATTTGCTCACCTGGAGGAGCTCAATTTCTTTGGAGAGTAAGAGTTCAGGGAAGAGCTGAGGTAAAAATTAGCTAATCCAACTAATTCTTTCTTTTTTAGAGAGAGCTTAAGGAAGAGGTAGGTTTTCTATATCACCTGAAGAGCTAGGTCTAGAGATTTACCCAATCAAAGCAAGTCTCCTCGATCAAGTTGAGTATAACTCATTCTTTATCTCTTTCAATTCCTCTCGCCGAAACTCACCTGAAAAGTTGGGTTTGAGGATTTTTCCAACTGTCCAAGCCTTCTTTAGCGAATGTTTCCTTGATTAGCACTCGCTTTTGCCCTTTTAACTTCTATCTCACCGAGGCTCACTTGAAAAGTTGAGCTTGAGGAGTACTTTTTAACTTGATCAAGTCTTCTCTGTTCAAGGTCTCCTTGATCATGTAGGATTCTGATGTTAACTCTACATATGTTTCTAAGTTTGAGTTCCTTGGATTTGGAGATGCAAGTGTTTTTTTTTTAGGCTTGACTCTCCTTTTCGTGTGTTTGAGCTCCTGGTTACTTGAATTATTTATTTATTTTTAGTATACAGAGAATTACTTTTATGGTTTTGGTTTGGACACGGTATTTAATAATTAACTAATGCAATTTTTTAAAAGATAATTAATGCCTTTGATCTCAAAGAAGCTGTTCTTATAAAATGAGGTAGAATATATATATATATATATATATATTGAATTTTAAATATTTTTGTCATTCTTTAGTTTTGTTTCTATTTTTTATATAAACTTTTATTACAAACTAAAAATTTCTTGAATTTTAAGTCCAACTCTATATGCACCCTCGTTTCTTGAATGATCATAAAATTTTAGATTTATATTAAATAAAAAAAAAGTGTTCTTATAATTAATTTTGTGCAAATTAAGGCGTTACAACAGCTCAATTCAATACTCTAAAAAAAAATTAACAAAATCAAGCTTCAGATTACTGAGTAAAATCAGTAAATAGTTGAACAATTAAGAACAAAGAAGGAAGAAAAATAGATAAAAGAGAGCACACTTGGTTTATAATGGTTCGACTATTAATGAAATGTACGTCCATTTGAGGCGATTCACTAATCTTCAATCAATAGATCCAGCAATAGGCAATTACAATCACTCAGGAATTCAAACTCAAAAACACAGACCTGTTACAAACTATTCTTCTCCTCCATTCTTCTTCTCTCACCCACGAAGCAAAGGACTCTGCCTCTCACTCTCTTCACTCTAATTTTCTGGAATGTTCTCCCATTAAATATAATTCACTCTTCCCTCAATTACAAAATGCACTCATTCTCCAGTGTAACTAACTCCACATAATATAACAGGTAGAAATAAAAGGAATAAGAGAACCTAATTAAGCTGAAAATTTAAGATGATATGGAAACATGGTGTCAATAAAAGTCAGAATTGAGTGATCCACGCAAAGCTGGGCAAGGCTGAAAAACCGTACAATGAGCTATCAAAAATCAACAATTCTCCACCTTGATAGATCACTTTACATTCTACTGATCTATTTTAACATTAATAAACCTATGCTTCCTATTTGTTTCTATCTCAATAGATACCAACCTTCACAACCAAAGGCTTAGTATAGGCATCAGTTGCTTTCTCTTCCATGCTGATTTTTTCAAGTTTTATTTTTCCTTCTGCAAGAACATCTTCGATGAAGTGAAACCTCACGTCAATATGTTTTGTTCTTTGATAGAATTTTTGGTTTTTTTGAAAAATAGACAGCACTTTGGCTATTACAAAATAACACAGCTGGTTAAGTCGTATTACCTTCTAGTTCTAAAGTTAATTCTAAAAGCCAAATCCCCACTTTTACGGCTTTTAATATAGCCATAAATTCTAATTCGGTGGTTGATAGGGCAACTATTAACTGTAGAGTTGCTTACCAGCTGATTGTATTTCCCAAGAAGGTAAAAGCTAGACCTGTTAGGGATCTTCTTCAAATAACATGGATGAGTCAAACTTCAAATATCATTGTTTTGGAGCTTGTTTTAACCCATACAATGATTTAAGTCATATGCTGTAACCATTGACAAGATAGTTCTTATGGAGGAATGTCTCACAACAGGCGAGAAAATTTCACCATAATCCACACCCTCTCTCTGTTCGCTATGAGTTGTGTCTTATATCTTATAAGATGAGATGAATACCTGCTTTCTTTTATTTTAAATATCCGTTTACATCCTACGAGTTTCTGATTTGGATGTCTCTTCACCAGCTCCCATATTTCATTTCTCACGAGAGAATTCATTTCTTCCCTCATTTTTTGTTCCCAATTTTTTCTTTATTTTTAGAATTTATAGCAGAGTAAGAGAGCGGTTCATCATCAAACTGTTCCACTTCAATATTTAATACATAGTAGTATACCAAATATGCACTGGCATATCTTGCTGGTGGTCTAATTTCTTTTCTCTCTTTGTCATGAGCAAGCTGATAATTTTGTAAGTTTTCAGCTTCTGTAACCTGAGATTCCACTTGGATTTCTGGTGTTTCAACTCTATCTTGGACTGTATTACCAGCTCTTTCTTGCACTAATGTACCTTCTAATTCCATTTCAAAGCTCATCTTTCCTGATGTTTCTAACTGAGACTCATCAAGTGTTGAGGACAACAAGGCAATGTTACTTTCATCAAATGTAACATCCCTACTAATTATACACTTTTGTTCACCTTTCTCTAAGCACCAAAACCTATAAGCTCTAGTACCTTCGGGATAACCAAAAAATAATCATTTCTTTGCTGTGTGGTCCGGTTTTCCTTCTTTTACATGTACATACGCCACACACCCAAAAACCCCTTTAAATTTGACATGTTTGGAGGATGACCATATCACATTTCCATTGGTGTTTAAAATCCTATTGCTGAATGAAGTACTCTTATTGATTAAATATGTAGCTGTCATAGCTACTTCTCCCTAAAACCTTTTTTTGGTAAGTTTACATTTGACATTAAGGCATCTTATTCTTTCAAGGAGGGTGCAGTTCATTCTTTCTGCTAGATCATTCTGTTGGGGTGTGCCTCAGTAAAACGTCTCTCAATTCCCTTCTTTTTACATAATTCTTTGAATTGATCTGAGAGAAATTCAAGGCCATTGTCAGTTCTGAAGCATCTCAACTTCTTCTTTGATTGATTTTCAACAAGTTTCTTCCGTTCGACAAGCTTACTAAAGGTTTCATCCTTAGTCTTCAAGAGATATATCCAAACTCTTCTTGAGTAACAAAGTTTTATGTTACATTCACATTATGAGTTTCTTCTTCTTTCTTTCCTTCTATTTTTCTTTTATTTTTCAACTCATAACATTTTTTTCTAATGTGACCCTCTAGTACGATTGTTATTAGACTTGAAGTTTTTCTTCTCATTTCTATCTCTTGCAAACATAGCTTCAGCATCCTTTCTCTTTTGTTTCTTTAGTTCAAGATCTCTAGACCTCAAGGCATTAAGGACAATATCTAAAGTGACGCTATCTCTTCCATATTTTATTGTTGTTTTCACTTCAGAGTAGGAATCTGGTAGGGAATTCAATATTATACTGTCTTTGTTTCCATCAGACATTTTTTCTTCAATATTGGTTAAGTCCAGAAAAATTCGATTAAGTCATGGAGGCTCTGTTCCAAGTCTTTGCTTACATCCATTTTAAACTCAAAGAACATTTCCTTGATGTAAAAGACTCTGTGAGATAGATAACATCTAATTTAGCCCATATCTCCAATGCATGTAGTAGCATCATGTACTTGCCTTAGTAGCATCATGTACTTGCCTAAGTAAATTAGTAGCTAAATATATTATTATTGTGCTAAAAGCTATCTCTTGCATTTATGCAATTTTTTCAGCAGTCATTGTCTCAGCTAAAGCGTTTTTATCATCCAAAACCTTAGAGGTCTTTTGCTGAACTAAGAGGACTTTCATTTTCTTCTTCCATAGAGATAAATCTTCTTTTCCATCAAATTGTTCAACTTCAAACTTAGCAGACATATTGACTGATTTGTTAATCGATTAACCTATAATCTCTAGGCTCTAATACCAAATTGTTGTTGGGATTGGTGGAGTCAAAACGACGTCGGAACGAGCTAGGGAAGAGTCGGGATCGAGTCAGGACGCGCCGGGATCGAATTAGGATGAAAACAAGGGAGAAGCGGGAGCTGCAAGCCACTTGGGCCGAGAAGACAGCATCGTCACTGCTGCAGGGCGCCACAATGCTGCAGCGCTGCGGCGCTATCCTGATGGGCACGCCGGCGCGATTGTTCGTCCATAGCGCCATGGCGCTGTTTCGTTGTTTATAAATAAGCAGCCTTCGGGTTTTAGGGTTTACCAGCCGGACAAGAGGTTATTTGCAGTCGTTTTTTAGCGCATTTTGGCAGCAAATCAGTGGCAGCGGCTCGGGCATTGGCAGAAGCTTTGGGGTTAATCAAGATCCATATTATCAGGTAATTGTATCTTGATTCTATGAGTTTTTCATTCGTGCTCCTAAGTATTAATTGTGTAAGATACTTAGAAGCTAGGGGGTTTTTGTTGAGACCTCTAGGGGATATTTTCTGGGAGTGTTATTGTATCCAATCCTAAACAATATTAGTAAATTACCCACATCTTAGTGGAAGATTGGACGTAGCCGTTAGTGGTGAACCAGTATAATTTGCTGTGTCGTATTCTTGTTCTTTTACTGTTTTCTTTATATTTGCATATTGTTGGTTGTGTTAGGATATTTTCTGTGGAATGATAAATTATTCCGGTCAATCAATTTCCCAACCATTGTTACAACAGCTCAATGAATCTCAGAGTACTCAATTCAATACTCTAAACAATCAACAAATCAAACTCTAAATTACCAAGTAAAACCAGTAAATAGTTGAACAATTAAGAATGAAGAAGAAAGAAAAATAGATTAGAGAGGGCACATCGGGTTTAAAGTGGTTCAACTATTAATGAAGTCTACATCGACTTGAGGCGATTCACTAATCTTCAATCAACAGATACAACAATTGGCAATTACAATCACTCATGAATTCCAGCTAAAAAACACAGACCTGTTACAAGCTATTCTTCTCCTCCATTCTTCTTCTCTCACCCACGAAGAAAATGACTCTGCCTCTCACTCTCTTCACTCTAATTTTCTGGAATGTTCTCCCATTAAATATAATTCTAACTCTTCCCCTCAATTACAAAATGCACTCACTACCCAATGTAACTAACACCACATAATATACCAAATAGAAACAAAAGGAATAAGAGAACCTAACTGAGCTGGAAATTTAAGTTGATCTGGAAATATACTGTCAATAAAAGTCAGAATTGAGTGATCCACGTAAGTTGGACAGCTGAAAAAACCATACAATGAGCTATTAAAAATCAACACAAGGTCATCAAACGACTTGTTCATTGAAGTCATTGTATGTTATTGATATTATATAAGAATATTGACTTCTTAATCATTAAAGGAGATTTAACTCACGCTCTCAGAAGATACAGTTGAGCGTTAAGAGTTCTTGTCATATAGTTCATTTAACGTGGAGTAATAATTAATTGGTTCATAGGGAGTGAAATTAATTCTCTAGAACTTTCTTCCCATTAATTTTTTTTTCGTTTTATTAATTTACATAAATTGATTCTTTAATTCGATTCTCTAAATAAAATTTAACGATCGTATCGGTGGTATTCAAGTAAACTAGAAATCCAATCGAGAGCACGACCGTCCTTATTCAATTACCACATTATCATATGGCACATGGCTCTTTTTCTGGCAGGCTATTACAAGGAGTTGTTTTATCATCTCTCGATTGAAGAGACGTGTTCATCTCTTGAATTACTAGAAAAAACGGTTGGATAAAACAGCATGAGGAGGAATAATTGCTGGATTAGGAACTGGCACATCCGAACTTGCTCCCACATCTGGAAGAATAGCATTTAACACTACAAAAACCAAGGATATGGAACATTGTTATAAACAAATTTATGGCTGTCAATGTTAGGGGCGAAATTAAAACAACCAAAACGGGACGAAACCGACGTCGTTTGATTAATCTCAATCCTTCGATTGGCCAACGAAGATCGGTTTTTTGTGCTAGTCGGTTAGTCGAAGGGTTGCAGTACACCCTCCATCGGACGGGCCCACCGACCAACTTTTTCTGTATTCTTTGTAGTTTCCTCTCTATTTCTCTCATTTTCGTATATTTTTCCTTCTTCTCCCTTAACATGATCATCCCTCTCTTTTTCTCTTCCTCTATAGGATCTCCTCCTTAGGCCTAATTACTTATTAGGAATCAAAAATGATAAATAATCGAAACCAAAATCTATTGGAATGAGAATATTATTTCTTTCATGATGTTTACTTGAATTTTCTAGAAACTGAATTAGAAATCTATTGATGTTACTCCAACGGTGTGGAATCGTAATATACGAACCAAATATATAACAATAATTAAAATACCTATCTCCTATTTCTAGCTAATTAATTACAAATTTAATAATGTACTAATATTATTTTTAATTAAAACAATAATAAATTTTAATTTATTTCCTCACTTTTTTATCGATAGGAATATTTTTTATTTTAACAATATTAATAAATAATGAATAATTAAAATAAAATTACATTGATAAAGAAAGATTAATAGTAAAGTAAATTTGCAATTGAAATTCGCAACATTTTATTCTAAAATCACATCAATAGTTGTAAAACTTTTATATTTGAAGAAAAAATTATTAATAGGATAAATAAAACCATAAAAGAGTAAAATTGTTTACAAATCTTACTAATATAAAAAATGGTAAAGTAATTATTGAAAATTTGTGGGACCCAAAGAATATAGAATGGTAATGTAATTGATGAGGTTTTACAAATTCATATATATATATATATATATATTAATTTCTTTTAAAAATCCTTTTTTTTTTACAAAATAGTATTTGAGAGTGATTTTGGCATAATTACTTTTGTTATTGTCAAAAACACTTCATTTTCCATTAATTATGTTTGGCAAATAAAAAATTGATTTTAGGAAAGTCTAAAATCACTCTAAGTATTCACTTAGATGACGATTTTGAAAAATCAATTATATTGGCTTCTTTTCTTTCAAAATTACTAATTCTACCATCATTCCTAAACACCATTAATAATGAGCTAGTCCACATCTATCTCTTGCTCTGGATGACAACTTTAAAAAGAAAATTTATTTTTATACTCAACTTCCAAAACAAGTAGGTGTCAGATCGGTCTCTAACCCCGATCATCGCCGATTCAGCTTTTTTATCAGATAACATTATTACGAGCAAACAAATATCGAACCTTTCCAAAAGAAAAAGTTTTATCACGACAAATAAACAGCATAAAAAGGAGCAATGAATCTTTACATGGTAAGAACTTACAACTTTACATGAAAAAATCCAAGAGGAGAGCAATTCCCTAATGATCTAAAAAAACGTATAACATTTTTTTTCCCCACCAAAATGCCACAGGAACCTCAATTTTCTTTTCACCTTAAGCCAAGAATTCGAGTCACACATTTATAATCTTTGAAATTTTGGATAACATATTTTGCAGGTAGATTCTATTTATTGGAAAAAAAAAACAGAAAACAAATATATGCGTCTGTGTTTAGGCTCGTTCCATAACATTTCTACTTCTTATTATAATTGTATGACCTAACACCTACGAATTCAAGAAGGATAAAAAATATATTTTTATTTATGTTTTAGAACAACTTAGAAACGGGAACAAAAACCAAGAAACTTGTTTAGGTTGTTTCCAAAATTTCTATATGAATTTGAGAATGTTTCTAAAAATGATAAACAAGAAACATAAATAATTGTTAAATGCTTATATTTCTTCATAAAACTACGAGAAACAAAACATGAAAACTTTGGTCCTTAAGGGCTCATTTGGTAAGGTTGTTTCTGTTTCTTCATTTCATGAATTGCATGACTTCAACATCCATAAATTCAAGTATGATAAAATAATATTTTTATTTATGTTTTGGAACAAATTAGAAATGAGAACAAGAAAGAATGAAACTTATTTTGGTTGTTTCCAAAATTTCTTACAACTGCGAGAATGTTCCCAAATAAGAAGAAAAGTTAGTTGCAAAATGCTTAGATTTTTTTTTAGAAAATTGGAAACGAGAAATAAGAAATGGGAACATTAACAAACGGCCCTAAATTGCTATAGTTAGAGGAGAGGAATTAGTTTAAAGTGTCGAGTTTTTACCTCTAGGGTAAGAAATGGCAACAAGGCAGAAAAGAAGTACCACAGCAGGTAGGAGATGAAGGAAATTTAACTTCTTCATGATCACTTAGCTTTATATTCTTCGCCAAATTGCTGCTTGGGAAGTACATATTGCTATCTATATAGAGTTTAAGATTTGTTTATATGGAATAAACAACATAATAATAATTGAATTATGAATATAATAAACTTTTTATTTGGAAATACAGATCAAAATCTGCACTTATTTTTAGTGTAACCACATATATAAATGGTAGGTAGCATGATTATATCAAACTACTTACCTTTCTCTACATTTTTTTCCCCAAATTGGATAAGAACACAGAAAAAAACGGATTTTAAAAATATATATAATATAAATATTTTAAAAAATATATATTCTAAACCTCAAAATAATTTTAAAAATAATATTGCTTTAAATTTTCCACCCATTTGTCATTGAGACCTTGGCGGTTATTAATTTAGTACATTATAATATTATTTTATTACAATACAATAATTAATATAATACCTTATTAGTAAAATTTTAATGTTGTTTTATTAATTATAAATTTAATTTTAATATTTTAATTAATTTTAATAAGATAAATTAAATGATTTCGAAGAAAACAATTGATTGGAAAATAGGAGAGATATGACATGCCCATTCCCATCTAGTAAACTTGTATTTTAGTAACAAAATCGGTAGTCTGTGCCTGTGATCTCTTAAATTTTTTAGGAAAAAGAAAACGAAAACGGAGTTATCGTGGAGGAAACGATTACGCAGGGATTCGAACATAAGACCTCCAACTCTGATATCATCGTAAGAATGAACAAACTATCACTCAACCCAAAAACTTAAGCTGATGGATAGGATAAATTTAATTCATCTATATAGATTCTAACAAATTACTATGATTTTAGAGTTTAAAAAAATGTATAGGTCCAAAATAAAATTGAAATTAGCTGCAATTTTGAATTTAGTGCGATTCCTTCCATATCTCCCAACTTATTTTTACAATTAATTTGGAGTTTAGAATAGTTTTAAAAAAAAAAATTATTTTTAGTAATATTTAAAAAAAATTCCGTAGAATTTAGGAAAAATCCCCTAACTTAGAGTTGTTTTCAATTTTATTTGAACCCTCGGATCCTACCTTTCAACTCTCAAAACCTCGGAAGAGGATGGGTGAGAGAGATTTGAGGTCCTATTTAATAAAAATGAGAATAAATCAAAGTGAAAATATTTAATAAGAATGAAAATGAATCAAAATCAAATCAGTTAGAATCAAATCCAAATGAAAATTAATTGAAATCAAATCGACTGAAAATGTTATTCTTTTAGAAATTTTTTGGAATTATAATAAGAATTTCTTTAATACTTATTAAAACTGTCTCGAATTGGAATTATAATAAAATAAATAACAATTACTAATATATCACTTACTAATTATAAATACATTATTTTACTAATCTTTTTAAGTACAATAATAATAAATTTTAATTTATTTTATTACTATTGATATAGTAAATATATTTTTATCGTAACAATTTATTTAATTTAATAAATAATGAACAATTAAAATAAAATTACATCAACTAAAATATTTTTTATTAGAACAACCCTCCTTTAATATAAAATATTATTAAATATTATGATTTTAATATTTAATAATAATGAATTCTATTTTAAAAATCTATAGATATTAATTAATAGTAACAAAGTAAAATTAAAAATTAAATATAAATTAATAATATTTTATAATGAAATATTAATTTTTATTAGAAGAAAAATTATTAGTAGTATAAATGAAAAAAAAAGCAATAAAAATATAAAACAATTAATTACAAATTTATGAGTCTCGTTAGAGAGAAACATTAAAAATTGTAAAGTAATTATAATAAATATATAAGGCATGAATGAAATTGATGAGGTTGTATGAGAAGAATGATATTCCAGAGTGCGCTTTTTAAGATAAGATTATATCATTTGAAGTGTGTCACATTTTAATTTGATAAAAGAATGAAAAATTTGATTCTCACTCTTCAAGTAAGACCTGTCCTACAAGAGAAGGAGAAGCGGATTTGAAGATTAAAAAAAATAATAAAAGAGCTATGATCTTGTGGAGGATTTTTCCTGCAGATCCTTTCAAATTGTAAAACCTCCTCTAAATACGAGACCCTGGCCAGGTGTATTCCATGCAGCATAGGTATATTTGAAAAAAAAAAATAATAAGAACAGCATTCAAGAGAGTCAGAGACAACCTAGTCTATTGTGTCATCTATTTATCACGACAAATGAGTGGAAAAATAAAATCTGCATTATTTTTAAATTAGTTTGTAGTTTGTAATAATAATAAAAAAAAAACGTTCCTAGCAAATTATATTAGATTTAATTTTATTTTGGTGTTTGAACTTCTAACTTTATTTTATTATTATTGAACTTTCAAAATATTTATTTTAATTTTTAAAGTTTTTAAAATTAACTATTTGGTTTAATTTTGAACTTTCAAAAATATCTATTTTAATTCTTAAACCTTTTTAAAAAGTGCCCACCTCGAATAATCTCATGGTTCAATCCTCATTCATTCCAACTATTGTCGATCAATCGCAAGACACGAAAGGAGTATATTTAATAAAAATTTAAATCATTAAACAAGATAATTAAGCGTTAACTTCAAAACAATGAGTTAAACTTGTATTTAAACCATTAATTAGTTTTCTTAATCCCACTTTGAAGGGAGGATGGATTGTTAATACTTAATAATTAACTTATTAGCTACCAAAAAAATAAGATGGGGATGCACGGTATGGGTTCTATTTACCTTGGTCCATTTGGACTTAATTAACCATCTATGAAGCGGCTAAATTTCTCTTAATTTTAATGGCCTACATTACAAATTTATTTACTTTTATATTTTACTTTACGATTAAAATCTTTCCACAAATATTCTACAAAAACTTAACTATTAATATGACCCTTAAAACTCAAGATATATTGCATAGGTTAAAACTAATTACTTTTAACTAACTCCCTCTCTCCTACTTTTCATTTTCTTTGTGGCCTCCCCACTTTATCAATTGATGAGTGGAAATAAAAGGTTCAAGTTTGCTATAAACTGTCATGAGAATGCCATCAAACATCATTTTGTGACATGTTTTAATTGTATTGTTAGCATATTAATGACGGTTTTTGTTTGTTGTCATGTTTGTTTCTTTTTCTTGACGGGAGCGACTTTTAAAAAATATCACAAAATTTTATTTGGACGTTTTCTAAATGTCATCTAATGTCAAATCAATCTAGCAGCTTCATAAAGTTTGTTTTTTCGTTTTATCTTTTTAACTTTTTAAAATTATTTCATATACTTAATATCTTAGATTTGTTTACTTGATTAATATACAATATTAATATTTTTACAAGAATCTATGAATCCTGAATACAAAAACTTAAGAAGAAAAGAATAATGGAAAAAAAATTGATTGAATCTCAAAAAGATACTCTTCATAGATTTGTAATTATTAGGAGTAAAACTAATAAAAATGATGAAATAATAGAACGAAGGATAGTAGACAAATTAAAATATGAACAAAAATAGTAAATAATGATATGATTGAAATGATGCATGTAATCCAACAAACTTCGTCGAAGAAAACTAGAGAGTCGGGAAGAAAGTAGATACTAGGATAAATAAAACAATATATTATGATATTAGTAGAGACTTGTATATGCATTCTGACTATTAATTTTGGAATAACATTTGTGCAAAGGCAACTTTTCCAATTTGTCTTAATTACGGGATTGTGTATTCTTTTTTTCCGTGGTTTGAATAAATCTACCACTGTTCTCTGTTGTTTATTGCTAATTTCAATCACCTACTCTATATTTCTNTCTCTATCCCTATCGATTTTAGAATTGTTGAGACCAAATTTAAAGTATGTTGCAAATTCAAAGTAACATTATCGCTATTCTCATGAATTGATTTCTTGGTACAAAAATGGTTTTTTCAAAAGATGAAAATTCTAAAAATTTTTCTAATGTTTATTATACTAAAAAATTATCTAACGGAAAAATATTTAATTATTAGCTTGTTAGCTACTATTAAATTATAGATGGGGATGTAGCTCACATGGTAGAGCCATTGAAGAGGTACGGGTTCGATATGTTCATATTTGTTAATCATGTTTTCAACTGTATTTGTTTCCATCTTCGGTATTTCCATTTCTAAAATGATGTTCTTGTTTAAATTTTGGTATTTCTATTCCTAAAATGATTTTTTTGTTTAAATTTTGTTTTAGATTTTAATTTAATTAATATATTTTATTTTAGGTTTGTTAGTAAAATTCTCGTGGAAAAATATTTGAATTAAAAAATACAGGTAAGATTCTCAAAATATTTTAATGATTCATTCGAAAAAAATATAGGTACGATTCTCCTATGTGATAAATAATATATTCATTAAAAATCATGGAACGGTTTTAAGTTGGCCATTTTTCAAAACTAAAAGTTGTTTGGCCATTTTTTGAAATGACTCATTTTAAATAGATATACTTGTTGTTATCCCGAGTTTCAACCCATTCTTTTACCTTGGTCCATTCGGACAAATGAGTCACGTGATGGTTAAATTTCTCTTTTTTTTTCCTCTTAATTTTATTAACTAATTAATTTTAACTATCTCTGTCTTTCTCTCTCAACTTTTCATCTAACAAGAAAAATATTTAATTATTAATAWATTAACTACCTTAAAAGAAAAGTTGGGGATGTAGCTCACATGGTAGAGCGCTCGCTTTGCATGCGAGAGGTATGGGGTTCGATACCTTGCATCTCCATTTTTATTCAACCCATTCCATAAGTCCTTTTGATTTACTTTGGCAAAGTGAGCCACATGATGGTTAAATTTCTCTTTATTCTTTCCTCTATACTGACATCATCCCTCACTCTTTTTTGACTTTTTTCCCTCACTTTTTCCAGATTTTTTTTGACAGTAACAGGTTTTTACCCGAGAATTTACTGCAGTAAAACGCAGATTCACATTAAAATGTGTTGGACCCCGTTTTATCCATTTTGATTCCCCTAAAATTGAGGAGGGGGTATAAAAGCAACATTTCAAGGTTGTCTAGATTCATTTTTCTTCATCAAATTCTAGAAAGAACAAGACAAGAGAAGAGGGAAGATACTTGGAGAGGAACCCGAAGAAGACAACAAAGGGATTGAAGGGCGGCTGTTTTTCCTCATTTTCTTACTCTTTTCTACTCTTTAGTGTACGGATTTTGTATTTTCTTCTTCCATTTTCTTGTATGACATTGTGTAGCTAAGTTTATTTGTAGGGGGAGGATGTTGTGAACTTGTTTTTGGGCTGTAAACTTTGTTGACTTATGATGATATATATATACTGAGTTGAAGTTGTTTTTAACGTTTTATTTTCAATGTGCTTGGCCAACATATTGGAATATCTTCTTATTAACTCTTGGAAAATTGTAATAGGAAGTGTTTGGCTTCAACTCGTGCTAGATTCTACTTAGTTAAAGTGTGACAACTTAGGAATAAGGCTCACCTAGTAAGATTATAAACTGAGTATATATGCTGTCAAGTTTGTCTAAAAACATAAATAGCAGAAAATCTTGGAAATCTGAGAAGATTCCGTGTCTGTTTGGCTATTATATTACTTCATCGATGTTGTAGCATTGTTTGCGTAAGTCCAGAAAAAGTCACATAAACTCTTCCCCCTTACCCTTTTAAAAATCAGTATTTAATCTCTTATTTGCACACTTTCCTTTAATCAGTTTGGTTATGCTTGGTTCTTACTTGTTTTTACCCAGCAAATCATCTATACACTATTGTGTCATTCGTCCAAATTATCTACCAATGAGATCCATATGTACTTCGTATAAGTCATATTCAACTCATTTGAGCAACTACCTTCAACACTTTCAGTCTATGATGACCTGAGAGAACTATTGTAATTTATATCAAAGTTATCAAGATAGTGCGCTAGATCCTCCAAGTTCATCTTTTTGGTATTAATTAAATTACATATTCTACTTCATGTATCACCATTATTTGTATGTAATAATATATATATATATATATTTATTTATTTATTTATTTTTAATTTCTACGATTATTTCAATCTTTATATATGTCAATATTTCACATATATTGTTCTAACTAAAGACTAGATTGGATTAGAAATTATCAATAAAATATAATAAAATAACAATGAATTTTAGTTTAATAATTCAAAATAATTTCCATGTATGTATACAAGATTTTGTTCCAACATTTTTATCGCAACTATATTTATATAAGTAGTATTACTTATGGAAATTATAGGCAAATAATTTATATATGATGGTTAAAAGTGAACAATTATAGGCAAATTAAGCTACAATTAAAGTTTACTTTACTTATTCAAATAATTTCCATCAATCTTTATTAAAGAAAAAAAAATCTTTTTTTGGATATTTCCATCAACGTCGACATTTTTATAAGTAAAATGGTATTATCCTTACATTTAATGGTTAAAGGTGATCAATTATAGGCTAATTAAGATACCATTCATGTTTTATTTACCAATTCAAAAAATTTCTATCAATTTCCACAATTTCCATGATTTTTCCCGAAATATCCGTCGACATCGATATGTCCATAAAATCGAGACCTTGGCATTTCCATTGACATCGACATTTCGAACACTGTTTGGTACACAATGACAAAAATTGAAAAATCCCCAAATTTTAACCTTCATAGTTGTCCAATCCGAGAATTAGCTCCAAGGACAAGACCTATATGTTATGGATAAAATTTAATTAGGTGGTTAGCCATAGGTAAAGTATCTTCCTATTTATCACCATTAAAAAATTGACAGTTATTTATTCTATTTTATCTCTATTCCTTTAGGCATTCATCTAGTTAGTTGTCAATTTTTATGCTCGGTCAAATTGGTGAGAAATGATTTCAAATTCCAAGATTTTAAATAATGGAAAATTTTCACGAGAAATGAAAAAACAGTATAACATATTACTAGCATGCCTTTCTAATTTAGTATGATATTATATTAACAATAATTAGAAATTATATTAAAAATAATATAATATTTTAATATAAAATAGTAATGTCAACCACATATAAACATTAATCAAATGAAGATACTAAATTATACGTTGCCAATAAAATTAAAAAGAAAAAACTTGTAAACAAATATTTTTTAAAAGAAAAAAATTATTTCATATCTAAACAAAAATAATCCATATGTTTACCTTTTTTTCCTTCGCAACATCTCACTTGCTTAATTTTTTTTTTTAAATAAGATCTTTTGACAGAAGAAAAAACCTCAGGAAGAAAAACACAAGGAACTTGAAAAAAAAATTACGAAAATGCTTAAAAAAAATTAATTAAAGAGAAATTTTAAATGTATCAACAAAATGTATTTTGCTTCCATTATAATTCAAAAATGTTCGTAGAAGAGAGGAGAAAAAATTAGTTTACTTAATGATTATTTGCTTATGAAGCCATGAAGATGTTTACTTTGGAATGAGAATGAAGGAATGAGAATCAATTTTTTTATTCCTTTGATCGTGTTTATCAAATTGTTGGAATGTGAATGTGGGATCCACCCACTTTTTTTTTATTCCTATTTCCTTAAAAAACAATCTCATTTATCTTCTACACCCTCGTCAATCTCATTCCCATTCCTTTTTTTTTTTTTGGGTTTCACGCATTTACTTTTACCCTTTCTCTCTCATGACACCTGTGACTTTTTATTTAATTGTTTTATACTTTTTTTATTTCTTTTTCATTTATATTACTAATAGTTTTTTCTTTTAGTAAAAATTTATATAACTTTTATTAGTTGAGATGCCATTATTATAAAATATTTAATATTTAATTTTTTAATTTGATTTTGTTATTATTAATTAATATCATACTTTTTAAAAATATAATTCATTATTATTAATTATTATGATAATAAAATTTAATAAAATTTTATATTAAATGAGTATGGTTATAATAAAATAGTATTTTAGTGGATGTAATTTTATTTTAATTACTTATTATTTATTAATATTAATATTAAATATATTGTTTTGGTAAAAAGGATATTTACTTTCAATAATATAGTAATAAAATAATTATTATTGTAATAAAAAAATTAGCACCACAATATTTGTGATTAGCTAGAGAGAGGACATGGGTATATAGTAAAAACATAAAACGAGTTCTGATTCTGATTCCATAAAATTTATGGTAAACGACATCAAAGGAATAACATTATTTTCATTCCGATTACTGTTAGGTAAACAGGACCTTAATGTAATTTGGAATTATACACTTCTTAATTTCAAATCTCGACAAATCCGAACTATCTGGAATGAAAAATTTTGGAACTTAAAACGTGATTTCAAATTTATTTTTATTCTTCCTAATTTAAACAGAGGGTTAATATGGTTATTAGACGGGGGCCTAAGACCAAAACACTTCGGACTTCAAAAAAAGGAAGGAAAAAGACCAAATACGTAATTTGGGAAGAAGTCATGGTACTTTAATGAAAATCGATTAATATTTAGTTTAACGAGACAGAAATGGCAATGGCGAATTTCAACGGTTTCTGTGATGGAATTGAAGGTGAGCCAGAGAAATAGAGCAGACCGTTTTTCTCTCCTCCCCAAGTTGCTCCCACAACCCACTCTCCCTTCTCAAACTCACAGGTATTCCGCCATTCCCTTGAAACCCAAATTTCATCGCCGATACGATGCCCCTTTCTATTGATTGAGGAAATTTATACAACTTGCTTTGCTTTTGTGCTCTTTTCCCTCCAATTTCTACATCAGAACTTGGGCTTACGCTAAAAGATCATCGAAGAATCAATTCGGAGCCGTTGCGCTGGTATGTGTGCTCTACATTCAAACTTGGGTTTATTTCTGCACTTGAAAAAACTTTGAAATCTCAACTCTATCGTGCTTGTTCCAATTTGTTCATCCCCACGTTTAAATAGCTCTTTCTATTTGGTTCTATTCTATATTCCTTTGTTTTCTCAAAGACCCACATATTGATTGGTGATTTATGCTTTGAATATCTGTTGTGTTCTGGATGAAGAAATGGGCCATTGGTTAATCGTTAAATATTTACTTGTTTCTGAATGAGTTTTGTGGTGATGCTGTCAGAGATGGAGGTTTCAACTTCAGGATATACCCAGAGATCAATCCTTCACTAAGCACCACTTTGTTCGTATTGTCGAAGGGTAAGAGGAGAAAGTATTTTTTACTCACTTTGTACTCTGCAGAAGAATTTGATTGTATCTGAAATGTGCATTATCAAGCCCAACTGTGGTTTTTCCTGGGTTGAGGAGGTGGATTGAATTTTTGACTTGTGGGCTTACTAGCTTCAGAAGTATCTCTTTGTTGTTCAATAAAACGTGAACATTCAAAATCGTTATGGATTTGTTTTCACTTCACAGCAGATGACAGCTTTTGATTGATAGTTACAAACTGAAGTAGTTGTAGCTAGTACTTTGATTGTGCAGTTTATATGGAATTGAACTTGGTAGTAATGACATGCTGTTCGAATATATCAAATTCTTTTGAAAACTTAACCTTGTTAAACAATTTTTAATTTTGGAAGGTCTGTTGGATTCCAGAATTGAAATAGTTTCATCTAATTGTTAAGATGTCAATTGGGTAGGGGCGAGACGTTCACTTCGATTTTGAAGCAGAATGGAGTTTCTACACATTCCATTGTCATAGTTAATAGGAAGATAGGGGACACCGATCTAGAACACAAGGGGCAGGATAGCAAGATTCGAAATCCTCTAGCGGTAAGCAAGTTTCTATTCCTTTTCCACTTTTGAGCCATGTTCTAGGTCCATATGCTGGTTAATTTCATAAATGTATTTTTCTTATGGTTTCTACTTCTAGCTTCATGTGGAATTACTTCTGAAAGAAATCGATAGCTGAAACCTTTTTATAGCAATCGTTTTCCAAACCTATTGATTTTGATTTTAAACTTTGATAGGATGATGACTACTTTTGGAGTTGAATTTATCTTGCAACCTAATTACTAATAATAATGTTGCAAACTAATTACTGAATGTCAAGATCTTCTAAAATGTGAAATCTCGTGTGGCTACATAGTTACTCTTCATTATATGAGTTGTATTCATACTTTCAAAACTTGGTGGTGAAAGCATATGTATTGCTTGAAGAATTGACAAAATAACTACTGAACTGCAATTTGTGGCACAACACAATTGATGTAAAGAAACAAATCACAATCATGGGGATTGAAGTATCATAATGTTTGATAGTGATACACTAAATTAGGTTGTGAGACTAGCCTTTTAAATATTAGTCATTGATCACTTAACCATATGCCCATATTCATATCTTTTTAGGGGCCTGGAACCTCAATAAAGTTGGACCTTTTTTTATTCTTTCGGTGATGGGGGAGAACATAAAAAATGTAAACTGGTATAGGCCGGGACTGGTAAATTCTGCATGAATACGAAAACAGCCTGATTGAATATCAATCTCGCGAGACTTGAATTTTAACGTGATTGTGAATTTGGGCTTAAATAACTTCCTAAAGTACTTCAATCCCGGTCCGGGATTCGCAAATTTCAGCACCATCTTCGACATGGTTAAAGCCTTCTTCTAGGGGATTGGCCAGGGTCTAGTTTCCCTATTTTGAGTGGTTATCCATTGAGTTCTTGAAGAGAAAACCTCACTTGAATTTCAGCTCAGTACCAGTATGATTCGTTGTATACCCGAGGTATATGTGAGAGGAAGTTTTGTATATATCACGACGAGTGTCAAATTCTAGTTTTCAAGTAGTTTAGAAGGATATATCACATCAGGAAAGTACGAGTAATTAATCAAATTTTATTGGATGTGTTGTTGGGTTCCAGATTGTATCATTCTTAGTAGTTAAGGACATTGTTGTCAGTTCAAAATTGAATTACCATATAACTTATGCTTATTCCTGGCCTGACCTATTTCTTATATTCTACGCAATCACTGCAGATTAGAGATGTATATCAATTGCAAGAAAAGCTTCAGAGTTCTTTAAATGGACTTCAGAACTATAAAAAGCTTTTCTTGCACGTCTCCCCTCGTCTACCTCCTGTAAGTTTTCTTTCATTCCTACCTCCTGTAAGTTTTCTTTCATTCCGAGTTTTGTCTAGCTAAACTACACATATCACCTCTACAAGTATTTGGAGACTTTTTTTGAAGTTCATGTGGAGAACTGACAATTCAACAAACTTATCTGTTTTCTCTTTACTTCTTTTTTCTTTGATTTTCAGGCTAGAACCACTAGTTTTATAGTTTTGGTTCCTCTTATAGTATTTTGTGCCAGATGCATAATTGGTGCTTCTTATGCTAGAGTTTCCAAAACATCAAAGCTTAAAACTATTGATAAATCAGAGGGAGAGCATCACAAGTTTAGAAGCGGGCATTGGAGATCTGCTCTCCGCGATATAAGGGAACTAGATGGTTTGGATTCTGAGTCATCCACAGATCCTTCTGTAAGTAATGTAGGTCTCATTTGATAACCATTTTGTTTTTGGTTTTCTATTTTTAAAATAAGCATAAAAATATTACTCTTACCAATGTGTTCTTTTGTTATATTGTTTTTATAAACATTTTAGAAATCTAGGCCAAATTTGAAACAAACTTAATTTAAAAAAACAGAAGACTAAAAACGAAATGGTTATCAAATGGCATTATGAGTTTTTCCTCCTATTTTTACCCTATTTCACCCTTATTAGAAGCAGTTTGTTTGAGAATGGTGTTCTTATTTTTCTTTTAACTGTGGAGGGGTAGTACTTGCAATGAGGAATGGGAGCAAAATTGACTACTAATAAAGTTGTTGAATAGTTGCTTTCATTTCTTTTGAGTGCCAACTCCCCAAGCCTTTTTACAGTTGATCATTCATTTTTGTCCCTTCCTAATGGGGTTGTCTGTCCATCCACTTCCTTTTCTTCTTCTTGGCCTATCTTTTTGTTCTAATCAGCTGATAATACGGCCAAATTGGTATACTATCTATACATAACAACATTGGATTTGCACATGGGTGGGGTGACCACCTAGACAAGCAGAGATCAGCAGTTTTACCCTTTTCCATCACACCCAACTTCTTTGTTTAGTGAGAGAAACTAGGGAAAAAATCAGCTATTTTACTTGACCCTCAAACCCCATGCTAAATAGAAAGATGGAAAAAAGGGAGAAATATGTAATTTGAGTGTGCGTTTGACATGGCTGACAGTGCTTTTAAAATGTAGAAAGCATATATTTTTTGTACCTTTTTTACTGACAAGTAAGATCATTTTAATTTCGAGAAATCTTCACTTGTCTTCTAGCCTCCGTTTTTTTTTGCGAATCCAACATGTAGAGTAGGGATTCGAATCTTCTACCTAGTAAGATCATTTTAATTTCGAGAAATCTTCACTTGTCTTCTAGCCTCCGTTTTTTTTTGCGAATCCAACATGTAGAGTAGGGATTCGAATCTCTACCAAAGGTAGAAGATATATGCTAGTTGAGCTATGCTTAAGTTCCAAAATGTGAACACCAGTCTCCATTCTCTTGAAAGCCAAAAGTTTTCAATTTGGTAATAGTTTATAGTTATTGCTCTGCAGAGTCCTTCGGTAGATGAACAGATTTCAGTTGAAGATTTGTCACATGCTTACAAGAAACTGGACAAGGACTACGAAAAGTTTCTATCAGAATGTGGACTGAGTAATTGCGGCTACTGGCGTGGGGTTCCCCGAGTCAATAAGAAAGGAATTCATTGACTTCAAACTAAAAAAGTGGGTCAATGCTATGGACAAGGAGTTGTGAGTTCTCTAGGAGAAAGCGTAGAATAGTTTTCCTTGTGTATTCTGGTAGAGTAAATCTTTAAACAAACCAAACTGATGTAATTAAGCTTGAAATTGAACAAAATTTATGCATAATGCATCCCATTTACAACAACTCTTCACAAAGTTCGAATCCAAATACAGTTGAAAACAGTTCCATAAAACTCCCCAGCAATTTCCTCGTTTTCTCCTCTCAACGAACACGGCGAGCTTTCTCTTCCTGCCCTAGTCCAAGTGATTTCTGAGCATTTGCAATGCCTTCAGGGTCTGGAATGGAATCAGATGTGTTAATGAACATAACATTGAGTAATGGTAGCAAATGACTTTGTTACAATGGCAATGTTAATCATTTTATTCAGAATGTATCTCATGATAAACAGGAGGGCCAGAATATTTTTTTCCTCAATACCTTTAGTCTGAAAGTCTCTATCTTAAAGAAATTAAATGTATTCATTTTACTAATGAGCGAGATGATGATGAAGCTAAAATTAAGAAACAATGCACATAGAAACTTAAATACTCGTACAGGCAATCAAATGTGCTTATGGAGCATAAACCTCAAAATAGATCAAAATCAAATGGTAGTCATAAAGGTAGATATTCTTTCCTTCGATCCAAGTAAGAATGTGCTAATGAAGATATAAACATGAAGAAACAAACTAAGAACGTTCTTTATCAGTATCATTTTGTTATTTTAATCAAAAGGCAATATCATTATACACCTAAGCAAGCAAACAATATCCTGATCACTATCAGTAACGAATTTCCGACCCATCTAGATATACAGGTTATCAGATGATGCAAGAACAGTGATTTAATAACTTTGGGGGTGAGACTATGACTGCAATAGAAACTGTTAGCAAAGAAGTACAAATTATATGGTTCAATTACAAAGCTAAGCAAAGAACTATAGCGTGTTTACTTTTGTACCTGTGTGCACACCCGAACTTGCAAAAAAACATTGAGGAAATATACATACCGAAGAACTGTGTGAAAATGCGAGTAAAGAAGTTCAAGTTGCGGGAGACATTGTAAGCCATGGCCGGTGGAAGAGGTTTGACAATAGTGTCAATGCTGAATACTCGTTGAAGAAACTGCAGCATACACAAATTTGTTAAAAATACTTTCACAATTTAATATGAAATAATATCTGGAAAAAAGACTTCCATTGAATGAAGGAAAGTACTGGATATGGCCAGAGCATACCTGCAAACTTAAAAGCAGCGATGAAGGAAAGTAAAAGCTAAAAATATGAAAGGGGTTAACAAGGGACCATTCTTATACTTGATAAATCTTATTCAAATCCAACAAGTGCGCAGAATTAGAGGTGAACTATGTACAATGCTAGCTGCTTCTCATTAGCAAAGACTTCTAATTCACAATAATCAGAGTCCAATCGCAATTTTTTTCCTGAGGTGTTTAAGAATATATTAAACAGTAAATTTATGACAATCTATCTTCTTAAAGTTTTGGAATTAATGCTGATTAAAGCATAAGGTTCTATGTTCAAACCTTCACAACATTATTCACATTAAACCTTCCCAATTAGTAAGGTAAGCTCTCATAGTACGGTCAACAAATTCCATAATTTGGGTTCCATTCCAGATAAACATAGCGTGTGCATCACTGCCATCGACTTGGTGAAGTTGACTTCTTGTAGAGAACATTGCAGTTTCAAGATACCACCAGAAATTCTTGTCTAAATATCCACCAGGTAGATCCATACTTCATTTTTGGGGTCAATGCTAAATTGCATGCCTAAACTTCTTGGATATTCAACTGCTTGCAAGTAAGCAACCTTGTTCCAAGTGAGCCTGTCGGGGATTCCAAAGGGGTGGCCTTGGAAAGTGTGGGACAACCTTAAACTAAGTAGGAAGGTGAACAATCCCCAATTGTTGAATAGTAAAGGCAAAGGTTGGGATCATGAGGTCCGTGGTTTTCCTTGGCATTTTCAGCCTATTAACATCATGCAAACGAAACACATAAATGAGAATCAGCATTCAAAGTATGCCATAACCATACAGCCAGTGGTGAGTATAGCAACCACTCGTTCAGACTCCTCAGTTATTGACTCCTAAATGGTTCAGATTACCTTTGAGTTTATGATAACATTTTAATGCCCCACAGCATGTATGCCAGTAATTAATCACCGGGGATGAAGCGAAAAGAAGAGAAAAGCAGTTCGCCATCTAGGAAAGAAGCAGCCTGGATGCTCTTGCTTCTAAAGCTCGAGCTTATAGGCATGATTCTCTGCAGGTAAATCGTCAGTAGGTGACTCAGTAAATACTGGTCCTACAACTTTGTGTTTACTAGGAACTTCTGTCTTATAGGACAATAGAGATCTTCATTTCATAATTTTAGCATAAAGGAAGAGAGGAAGCGTGAAATTTTTTAATCAACTATAGCACAAATTCAAAGAAAACTGAGCAAGTCACCAGACCAGATATGAATGCACTCTCCTGAGTAAGCCACCCAAATCTCTATTTTCTTCCCCTTTCACCTCTATTTCCTAACAATTTCAATATTTTTTTCTTCTACGACCGGTGAGTCACCTTTCAATTGATCTCCAAAAGTCCTGCAGCACTTACTAAAAAATTATTATAATCTCTAATTATCTCTTCTCCCTTAAAAAGTTTCAACATCCACCTTTCTACCCAGAACGTTTTGTATCCATGGGACAAAAATTTGTTAAGAACTTTTCAGCTGCTTCTTTTGAAAACCCTCCATGAACACTCCAATTATGACTAAGAGGCATAGTATATCAGCATGAATTTGCAAATCGGTAATCAAAGAACAGATTACTACTTGCTAATCCTACAATCTAACAATTCAATCTATTAAAGAAGGAAAGTTATCTTTTCTAAATACAAAACAAAAGAATTTCACATAAACAACAGCTACTAGCCGACAAGAACACCAATTGAACACTAACTACAGCTTCAGGAACCATATCCATTTGAGGAAGAGAGAAGTAAACCTGGTAATTGCGTTGGAAACTGTAGCGGAGCTCAGGGTCAATCTCGAGGGAGTCATCCTCCTCTTTGGAGCTCTTGGACTTGACGCTCTTCTTGCGAGGAACATGCATTACCGGAGTCTCGCCGGGATTCTTAGTAACTTTGAGCTTCGCGTCGGCGAACTCGTCCACCTCCTCCTCGCCCCGCCATGGAGCTGAAGACGCCAACTGCTTCTTCTTCGCCATTCCGCCCAATTTTGAGAGAGAGCCGTGAAAAACAGCGGTTAAGGTAGATGCGATATGGCCCCGTTTGGAAACATGGATAACGCGACCCTTATCGGGATAGTTCCATCTCTACGCCGATTTTGGTGCTCTGGGTTTCCGTTTAAGGAGTGTTTGGACGCGAGCTTACGGCCCAAGCCCATTAAGAATCCCGAAAATTTCCCTCCTCTCTCTCTCCGGCGCAGCTCGGACGGTGATCGAGAAATGAGAGGACTGTCGCCGCCGAGAATCATAAGGTCGTTTTCACTGTTGAGGAGCACGAGACGGCGGGATGATCCACGCTCAATCCTCTGCTCTTCTTTCTCTACAGGCGATGATAATTACGATAGTAGCATCAGTAATGGAATGCAGAGCTCGAAGGTCAAGATTTTTGATCGTGATCTCAAGCGCAAACAGGTACGTTTACATTTCCAATCGTTGTTTAACTCTAATTATGGCTAACAACGGCATTTTCATTTTAAGTTTTTGATTTGTCTTCTTTGATCTCCGTGGCTTAACCAGAGTAGAACTTTAGAGGAATATTTTGAGATATTGGAGAAAGTATGGTGATATTGTAAAGATAATTTGTAATGGTCGTCTGTACATCGGGAAATTATGGGCATATTATTGTCTTCCGCGATGAGGCTTGTCAATTGACTGTTTCATATGTTCTTATTCTGCTTTGGTTCTATTTATATGCAGTTCGTCCATTGTTTGGATATTGCTATATTATGTTCTTCGCTGAAGTTTTTGTTCCTTGGTGACAGCGCGACCGAGCTGCATGGTTGATGCGCCCAAAGGATTCTCTTGTTGATACGGTTGCTGAGAACTTATTGGACCGTCTAGAGGTAGTGGATAGCGATATTGATAAATTGTGTTCATTTAAACTTGTGAATTGGACAACGCTGATTTCTCAGTATCATATTGTTTTTTTAAGGAAATGTTGCGCGCTTCGAAGAACTTAGTTTAGGAAAGCATTGGATATAAAATCACATCTCAAAGACAGCCTTTACAAAAAACTGCTACAATTTCTTAGTGATAATAAGTGTAACCAAAAGGTAGAGATCACCAATAGAAAAATATGTGTGGTGGGTTAACAATTAGTTAACCAAAGAGAAGAAAACAGACTGTGTTAGGAGTCCTTGGTGGAACATTGTGAAGCTAAATGCCAAGTAGTCATATAGAGAACTCTTCCTCAATCAGGCTATTCCCAGTGAGAAGCTAACAACTTCACCCTTGCTAGGACCGGTTGAAGACGAAAAGTTTGGAAAAAACAATGAATATCTTGAACTGGATACTTTGTTGAAAAGGAATTAACCATGCAGATAGGCTGTAAAGAAAGTGCTCCTTTACTGACTTTAGTCCAAGTTGCTAATTTTTCTGCATGAAAGCAGGGAAGGACCAACTACACCTATTCTTTGACTGTTCATAGGAAGTACTGAGAGTTTTTATCTGATCGTATTTGGTTGTCCATGGTCTCCTTATCTTTCATCCCACCAAAATTTTTTCAGCTGCTCTGTCCATCGATTCAAAAAAAGGGCTAACGTTTGGATTAATACCATAAATGCAATCGTTTAGGGACTTTGGAACGAAAGAAATTAAAGATCATTTGAAGAGAAATACATGGGTTGGGAGGAAAGGGCTTAAAGACCCTAATTGACATAGCCTTCCTGGACACATATTTTTCCTTGATTAAGCCAAACAGCATGCAATTTTTTGGAGCTCACTGTTAACCTCTTTCTGTAGTTAATACTTATTAATCCTAATTTGCTTCTTTTTGAAAGCTCCTAGTGGTGCTATGTTAACAATATGAGTAGGAAAAGTTCAGAGCTATTATTAGTATATTAGGGGGGCATATTTGTCCTTATCAAGGAGGGAGTTATTAAAAGATGGTTAAAAATAGGCCCCTCGAGAGGCAATCTGGTTGGCAAGGCTTGAGGTCTCTTGGTTGTCATACACATCGTGGCTTAGAGGTCTCAAGTTCGAATCTTTCGGTGAGCTTAATACCAAAAATCGTCAATATCTCTCGGGTCTGGGGCCTTGGATAGGTGCCTCTAGGTATAGGGGAGCAAAGTTCCAACTCTCAGTTATCGGAAGAAAATTTAAAAAAAGGTTAAAAAAATTGAGAATTAGGGGGGTTTGGGACATGCAGAATTTTGAGAGCAATTTTTTGGGAGTTTAAACCTCTAAGAAGTACTTCGGTATTGTAATTTTTCAACTACAAATCGGAATCCACTTGACTTCATCATCTCTAAAATCCCGAATAACTTATAGAGGGTATTTTTTCATTGATTTTACATGTCTCACATTTTGCCATTTGAAGGATTGCAAGAAGACATTCCCTGAAGCATTATGTTTGGGGGGTTCATTGGAGGCTATCAGGCGATTGTTACGTGGCCGTGGTAATAATACTATTTTACAATTTCACTTTCTTCGATCATTAGGGAAAAAGGAGTTAAGCTCTAGTAGAATGAGAGGCTAAGGGTTCATTCATAAATTAATGCATCACATGGTTCAAAGGATCACTTTCGAAAGTAGGAAGAAAATATTTTAGGAATATTAAGGTGAATAAGGATTACTACCCTAAGCATGCAATGATCATATAAAGTTGGAGTCTTGAAACTTGAATAATGGAGACATAAAAGTTGAGCTTTAAAGACATGAGCAGTTGAAAAGTTCTATCAGAACTTTCTCAAAGACTCAAGCATATGAAACATTTGCTTTTTCGTGAAAACTATAAATTGGTTTTCCAAAGGTTAGGGGTTCATTTATTGCTTGCATGCAATAATCCTAATAGCAAAGATAATTACATACGAATATAACAGATTTTTGGGGAGTGGTGAGGACTAGGGAGTATGTTTGGGAGCTTATAAGGTTTAATACCTCCCTATGGGGTTGGTTTGTAAGAGTTTTTGTAATATTAGTTAGGTGTTATTCTTTTGGACTATAACTCTTTCACAAAGTTATAATTTGGTAATGTTGCTATAATTATTTATTTATTAATTTTTTTTTGGGATAAGAAACTTGTATATTAAGCAAAAGAGAGAAGAAAACAAACGAAGGGTTGGGATAGAGAGAACCCCACCAGAAACAGCTAAAGAAAATAACTTTTTTCTTACCTTCACCTTTTTAAATTGAACTTCTTTTTTCTTGTTATCTTGTATCGTCTTTTAAGTCCTTGGGCTTCAGGTTCAAGCTCTTAACACTGTTGCTTAACAAAAACACCGTTCTTCATTTTGGATGTGAACTATTCCTATCTGAAATATTTTGGAAATTCATGTCTAAAGTTTAAAGGTTGGGTTCATTCTTTTATTCACATGGCATATTTGATGTCCCCATGGCCTTGATTTTCTCTGCTCGAGCATGGTCTTGTCTTTAGACCGTATCTTCTCTGGTAGTTGAACGCTATAATCATTCCACTGTCTTTTTGAATTGGGATATTGATCAGTTTGAAGATTGGCGAGTTGAGTTATTAGTTGCCTTGGTTATTGTGGTGTAAGTCAAAAGGAAAGAAACTTTATCGATGATAATGATCTGCTTTTTACAATCTAAATACTGGTATTCATAAATAATAGTGTTGCAAGTAACAGATGCCTAACTAACCAAATGACCAACTAACAGCTACTATACTAACTAATTAGGAATAACAAACGGCCTAACTAACGGTTAACTAACTATTCTAAATCATATTGCTTGAGTAAGTTCATCAAGAGGTTGCAATTGGTATTAGTTTAAGCAAATAAATAAACTAATAAACACCAGCATCAGTAGAACCTAGATAGATTATCTTTTTTTTTTTTGTATGGTGTTAGTTGTTAAATAAAATTCTCATCCATTTGGCAGGTTCGGTTGAAAAGCTGATTATGATGGATGCATCACATGACATGATAAAATTATGCAAAGATGATACAGGTGCACATGATCAGGACATTGAAACATCTTTTATTGTTGGTGATGAAGAGTTTCTACCCATCAAAGAAAGGTGTTCTTACAGCTTGTTTCATTTTCAATTATGTGCAACCACTTTGGCTAATGCTTTATCATTTCAATTCTTGAACTTGTGGGATGAAGTTCAGTAGATCTAGTTATAAGCTGCTTGGGTCTTCATTGGACAAATGATCTTCCAGGTGCCGTGATTCAGGTTTGCCTCCTCTCCTGCCTTGTACTAAAATGAAAAAATAACGCATCAGTTGTTTTTCGTTTTCACACCTAAATCTAATATATTTTTAACAGCATAATCTTCTAATTGAAAGCAATGTGAGTTTACTTCACAGGTTTCATCAAAAACTATTTTCTTTCTTTTTCTTTTTTATTTATTGTTTTTTATTTTTTATTAAAAAAAAGCCTCGTGTAGTAATTGAATCTTGTGATTGTTAAGAAGAAAAGGTGAAATCCCATTTTCAACCTGTGTACTAGAGAGAGGCCTAACAGAAGTTAGTATGAAGCATGATTGTTGGTTAAACAATGTCATATGTATTGCAAACTTGCTATTGCATGGTTCGTGTTCCCATATTCATTTCTCTTACCTTTCTTTTAATCTTTTTTTGTGAATGTTTTGTTGGCTTTTTTTTTTTCCTGAAATATTTTTTCTTGACAGAGTAGATTGGCACTGAAGCCAGATGGGCTATTTTTAGCAGCTATTTTTGGTGGAGAAACCTTAAAGTTTGTCATATTTTCATGTTTTCTTCTGGTTTGAATTTTTAGTTCGTTGCTTAAATTCCCTGCTTGATTTCCATTGCATATGCTTGCAATTAGGGAACTGAGAATAGCATGTACTCTTGCACAAATGGAGCGTGAAGGAGGCATCAGTCCACGAGTATCGCCATTGGCACAAGTATGTTATTGCAAACGACTCAAAACACCTTTCTTTTCTCAAAGAATCCATGAGTAGTATTTCTTGCCTGGAATCTTGTACAATTGTGTAGTCTTTCTTCTTAATATCATTTTCACGCAAATTTAATAACATGGCTTGGTCAGAGGTTTGAGTGGTGACTTGAAATATGAAATAGTAGAAATAAGCGAGTTACTTTTGTGGCTCTTAATCGAATCCAGAGTCAATTTCTACTTCTGGTTTTAATTACAGTAGTTAGATTCTGTAAGAGAAACAGCATATTCAGACAAATATCTGATTGACTGAATGGAGCACATGTCGGTTTACTTATTTAGGTGAGGGATGCAGGCAACCTTTTGACAAGAGCTGGTTTTACATTGCCTGGTGTCGATGTCGATGAGTACGTAGTTCGATATCCAAATGGTGAGCATGCTCATCTCACTATTTATTATTTACTATAGTTAATTTCTCGTTGATTAGAATGTGTATGTCTTATATAGATATATCGAGCTCGGTAATGTTTTCTGTTTCTTGTTTTTAGTTTCTCATTTTTCATTTCTAGTTTTCGAGAAACATAAGCATTTAGTAACTGTTCCTGTTTCTTGTTTCTCATTTTTAAGAAACGTTTTCAAAAGTTACAACAAAATTAAGTTTCGTGTTTCTGGTTCCCGTTTCCAATTTTTTCAGAACATAAATAAAAGCATTAGTTTGTTCGTGACAGGAAAAAAAGTGGTTACCGAATATGTACATTTTCTTTTTTCAAAAAAAAAAAAAATAATAAATAAATAAATAAGAAACAAGAAATAGTTACCAAGTTGGGCATCATTTGTTTAGGGATTTTTTTTCTCTTCCTTATAATTCTGTTCTGTTTACATAATATTAAGCACTGGATCTGGTGGAACACTTGCGTGCAATGGGTGAAACAAATGCCCTTTTACAAAGAAACCCTGTAAGAGTTCTTCCCCACATTTGTCTTTACCAATAAAGTATCATCGACTCTTCATCTTTTTGTTTTTGATATTATCTTTTGCTGATCAATGGATCATTTATGTTTCAATAATGAAACACAGATCCTGAAAAGGGAAACAGCCCTTGCAACAGCAGCCATTTATGATTCCATGTTTGCTGCAGAAGATGGAACCATTCCTGCAACATTTCAGGTCAGCTTAGTGTAGAGTGCATGACGCTAAATAACTTAATCTGGTATCAATAATATATGTTGTTTATGATAATGGGTTTAAATACCGTGGTCTGTACTCTTTGCTTTTGTTCATTTTAGTCTTCGTACTTTTAAAATGTCCACTTTGTTCCTTGTACATTCAACATTGGTTCATTTTAATCCACCTATTTTCAAAATGTCTACTTTGATCCATATACTTTCAATTTTGGTTCATTTTAGTCTATGTACTTTCAAAATATTGGTTTTGGTTCCTACATTTCTAAAAGGTGATCATTTTGGTTCTTATTTTTAAAATTTCAACACAAATTTATACACGAGAAATATTTTATGGCTACGTTTCAAGAAATTTAGTGAGTGAAGTATACAAAAATTTTGATCAAAATAAATGATATAAAAATAAAAAAAGAAGGGACCAACCTTTGGGTGAGCTTAATACAAAAGATTCTTGATGTCTCTCGGGTCCGGGCTTGGATGCCCTAGGTTATGGCAGACATATTAATGAAGGAACCAAAATAGTTACTTTTTTAAAATATAAGGACCAACATAAACATTACAAAAGTACAAGGACTACAATGAATAAAGGTTAAAACTATCGAGCATTTGAAAAGTAGAATAAGAGACCAAAATAAACAAGAGTCGAAAGTTAACACATCTGCCTCCTGCATTGTTTGTCAAATGATGATGGCATGAATTATTAGTTCCTTTTGGGACAGTGAAGTGATCCAATGGGGTGTGTGTTGCAATTGCAGGTCATTTACATGACTGGATGGAAGGAACATTCTTCTCAACAGAAGGCCAAGAGAAGGGGATCTGCCACCATATCCTTCACCGACATCAAAAAACAATTTGGAACTGACACTTAAAATTCTTTATTTTATTTTTTTAATAGTGGCAACTCTTTTGTTGTCTCTCATGTTTTAATCTCCCTTCCAAATAATTTGTAATCCTAAAAAATTTGGAATCCTAAAAAGGACAGTGGTTTCAGCCAACCTGAACGCATCTCAATTTGTTAAGCTATATATCTTCGACTAAAAAATCATCTGTTCCAAAGCTTAATATATCTATGAGCTCAAAAAATTTCAATCGCAATAGTTTTTTCTTTACAAATTTAAGGCGTGAAAATCACTCTTGAAATAGAGTTGTTATGTCTTCAAATTTTTGACTCAGTTTGTTCTAGGTTCCCAAGAACAATGTTGGTAATATAGATGGGATTTTGAGCTGATGATCTAAAATCAAATGGTTAAAGAAATTTAAATAAGCTCTCTTGACTTTGAAATTTCTATTTCGTTATTCTAAATGAAAACAAGCATGAATGGAGGCGTAGGGTTTTTTCTTGTTGGAAATGGGAAAAAATGCTCACAATTTTTTGGGACTTTTTTTTTTCCTCAAAAAATTATTGTTAGGGAAGATACAATCTCGATTGCTTCAGGCATTTACATAATTAACATAAGATAACAATGACTTTAAATATAATATAATTAAATGTCCTTTTTCTTTAAAGTATCAAAAAAAAGGTTAAAACTTTGCTATATTTGAACCAAAAATAACAAAAAAAGAATCATATTTTTAAAAAAATACATAGTCAATTTGTGCTGTGGATGAATTTTCTATTTTTATCCTCGAGTTTTGAGGATTTTTTCCCTTCCTTTTCTGGCCTTTTATTTCTTTCTTTAGCTTGCTCTCCTCTTTCTCTTTTTCTCTCTTTTTCTGTATGCACCTTTTGATTTTCGTTTCTACTCTCGTTCATTCTGCTCGTTTTAATTATTTTATTTCTTGGTTCAATTACTTGATTACAATGATTCCTTTACGTAATAGTAAAGAGATACCTATAAAAGACACAAATTAAATATTCACGTGTCTAAATACACGTTAAGTTACATGTACCTACCAATTCATGTAGAAATTATAAATTCATGTATGGTGGCTATGAAATGGATCTAACTTAAATTGTTGGGCCAAACTTGGAACAACAATTGTTGCATATTCCCAGCAAAAGCCATTGATTTTAAACAGCCATATTTCATTTCAACAGAGACAACACAGCTCCCAAGTACTAAATAAAGATCCCAAAAACTGCTATATATTAGGAAAAAAAAGATTGGTAAAGAGAGGCGGCTGAATCAAAAGAGTATAAGCAAACCAAAGAGAAAAATGATTGAATTGGAGTACTTTACATGGATGGTATGTATATGTATGTTTGTTTTAGTTCCTTTCTCACGAGCTACTTCTCCCGACAATATTTTCATTCTCGGTGGTGTCTCGAAAGATCCAATCACTGGCAAAAATATATGGGATGGATATATCCCGCCAGCATCTCGATCCCACGAATCAATCCTTCGATTGACTGCTCATTTGAAATGGGAACAAGCTCGTGAGCCACTTCATTGGGACATTGATTATAACAAGACCAATAAGCTTTTGGCCAAAGCTGGCAAGAGCATTGGTGTCATCGGGCTCGTTCCATGCGCCATTGGAGGAACTCACCTGAGAGAATGGGTTAAAGGGACGGTTAATTACACTAGATTGATCAAACGAATTAGAACTTCGAAAAAACATGGAGGAAAAGTCCAAGCATTTTTCTGGTATCCAGGAGAGTCAGATGCTTGGGTGGAAGAAGAATCTAAGTACTACGAAGGAAACCTCACCAAGTTCTTCACGGACTTGCGCAAAGACTCGTACCACCCAACACTACCCATTATCCTGGTTCGTCATCTTGGTAAATAATTTTTTGTTTCTCAATGCTAAAACTTCTCTAAAACATGCAGGTAAAGATAGTAACTCATGATATTTTCACAAGAAAGATGTGTGTAAGGCTGAAGAGGCAGTCACACACAAGCTACCAAATGTAAGAATGGTGGAATGGTGGATGGAATGAAAGCAGTTGGCAACATTGATAAAGGCCTTAATGAAGATAGAGGCCATCTTAATGTCAAATCTGAAGTGAAATTGGGCAAAATGTTGGCTCATGCCTTCTACTCTAACTTTGGCCACAATCTCACCAGCTTGAATTTGCATGTGAAAATTACTCCCTAAAAGAAATTATAAGAGCAAATTGTTAGGCTTCAATCGGGACGAGCTCCAAGGAGGGAGGCAAGAACCATGCTTTAAGAGTAGTGGCGGTCCGAATCTTATCTGAATTGCGAGAATAACTGACTAAGTCATGCCTATATATAAGCTCATTTTCCAAACGGCCAAAGTTTTGGAAATAGTTCTGAGACGATATTGGTCCGACCAATTATTCGAATTTTTTAAAGTTCTATCATAGTTAGTATCATAGTCAGTAGAGGACCGTTTAGAACTATTTTCTAAATTTTAGAGACTAAAAATGTCTCTTTTGAAACTTGAGAGACAAAAATATATCTTATTCTTATTAAAATTTAAAGTAGAAGTTCAAAAATTCAATTGTAAAGAACTCTATCATCACTGCCTTATTTGAGTTTTGACTAACAAGTTGTAACAATTAGGTTTAGTTCCAACGATAAGGTTAGAGGTGCAATTACTATATGCTTTGAAATTTTAGGGTTTCATTTTCATTTTTTCTATAAGGTTAATTTTTTTCTATTCTTCTCTACATTTAATTGAAAAGCGATTCAATTTAGAGATGCATTATAATATTTCTCACTCTTGTTGGGTGAGTTGATATTTTTTTAACAAAAAAGATTTGTCAACTTGAACATAATTCAAAGAGTTAAGGCATTTATGTGATCATAAGGTCCTAACTTTGAATTTCTCACTTCACATTTTTTTTATGAGTACAACAATTTGGTGATAACAACAATTTGGTGATATGGGGATCAAACCTCTGACCTCGAGGAGAGGAGTGCATGTCAATTGCTGAACTATGCTCATGTTATTTTTATTTACGTCAGAATGTTCAAGAATCCGAAACAAGAAAGAAGAAACTTGCTTTTTGTTGTTTTCAAAATTTCTATACAATTTTGAGATTGATTTTAAAAAATGAGAAATAAGTAACATAAATAATTTTTTAAAAATTTAGATTTCTTAATAAAATTAGAAACAAGAAACAAGAAAAAGTGAAAGAACTGCATTATAGATAAAGATGGTAAAGTTGTTTGGTTGAGAATTATTATAAATAGTGGAAAATAATGCAATAATTTTGCATATTTACAAATACAGTCAAAAGAGTAAAATTTTGTATAGATACCAACATATCACTAATATGATAGATATCTCCAATATCTATTAGCAATAATAAACGCACGTTACTAATATAAACATAAGTGATAATTGACGTAGGTACGAGAAAATTGCGTCATATTTGTAAATTTTGCTAGTTCGTACCAAGTTTTTTCGTGTCATAACATTACATTGTACCATTTGTGATGTCAAACAAAATATATATATTACTCAAGTTTGGTTGAGAGTAGGGTTAATTGATAAACAATAAGTAGAGAGGATGTGTAAAATAATGTATGAATTGAATGATGGATGTCATCTTATGAAGCCCTTCCCCTCCCTCTATACAACAACCCAATTCTCTCCATCCTAAGTATTTAGGCAACAACTACACATAATTCCCTCTATCCCTGTGATCTTATCAACAATTTTGAGCTGTTCTGTTCTACTTTTGGGCAAAATAATCAAAAAAGGAAAAATTTTAAAAAACACTGTAAAAATCCCTGGGGTAGATTTACTTTTCAATCCTTATTGTTGCTTATATACAGTACTAATTATCAATAATGGTCAAGCCTTTGATGGTTCTTCTTTGCAGATAAAAGTTGCAGCATTCAGCTAGAGAGCAGAAGAACCCCTCTTCTACTACCCCTTTGATCGCAGAGCAGTTAGTTTTCGATCCCAAAAATTACCAGATTCGTCGTTTTAAAGGTTATCGCCGTAACTCTTGTTTGTCTTAGCTTTGTCGATCCGCGCTTTCCGACAAGCCTGCTGGATCTGTCTTTCGTGCTCTTTCAGCATGTCTTCAATGGTTCCCCCTAGAGGCACCAATGGTCCTGAGTAATGGATTCTGTTCTTCTTTGGAACATAACCCTATAAATCACATGTTCAGAGTATTAAAAAAAAAGAAAAAAACACTGAAGAACCCCTAAAGATCGATATTACCAAACTATAGGAACCAAATTGAAATTTTTAAAGCCTTATAACCAAATTGACACCCAAAACAGACAAACCATAGAGACTAAAATGGTAATTCATCCTAAATATTTATGCGCTGTCTCGAAACCATAGAGACTAAAATGGTAATTCATCCTAAATATTTATGCGCTGTCTCGATGCAAGTATCAAGAATGACGAAGGAAGATTATAGTACTCGAGATAAAGGAAAAAAGAAAGTTTCATTTTTATGAATCTATCATAACCTAAGAACAGAATTACCATTTTCACTCAATAAAAATGGGAAAAAACCAGCAGTCATTAAAAAAAAGTTATTAATAGAATCATTTTGAAATAATCTAACAATATTTTATTGAGAATCATGTAACATGATATAACTAATTATTTGAATTTGAGCAAAGGGGGAAAGAGAGTTGTCTTCATACCATTCCAGAATCTTTAATAGACACCAAGTCTTCCTTCTTGAGGGAAGAGGATGATAATTCTCCCACTGCCTGACGCACTTTAGATTTCTGTGTCCTTAAGTCTGCACCATTCTTTGTTGCCCCAACAGGCTTACTCCATGAAGCTGCCACGCTCGGGTGCACCATTGATGTCGAGTGGGTGTACCGATTCTGCGCAACCCTCGGAGGTTCGCTGTCCTCTTGAGGGTTGTATTTAATATTTGCCTTTAGCGCTTTAGGGTGTGCCTGCAATATTTGTCCATGAGAAAGATATGCCATAGGTGAATAAGGGTTAAAATTTGTTTGGTTACATAGTTCAATTTGATTTTGAAAATTCTACCGACACCTAAAAGCAATTTAAAGTACTTTTGGAGAAAGCCCTTGGTTAATTCTTCTTTCAAAAGTGTTAACTTAAAAAGCACTATGGTCGAAAACCATCTCAAACTCATGAATTAGTAGTTCCAATTTGTGATAAAGCATACATTTATCGTAACGTCCCCTTGACCATTGAATTCTGGAGTCGGAACTGCCTTAGTTTCTCTTGAGCCCCTTCTTACTGATTCGGGGTGACGTCCCTTCACAGCTTCTGCTTTTCTCCTGAAATTAAGAGAAATTGCATGCATAATGATATCCCTATCCCCAAAAGGTAGTTTAGCAGCCATAAGTTCATTTTCCTTCAAGCTTCGTAACTATTTGGCTAGGAAATATTGCTTTCCACGTAAGACAGGTTATGAGGTATAACCAAAAAGAAAAAACTAATAAAAAACTTAATTAATGACCGATAAAGAAACGAGTTTTGAACCATACTTTCTCTCTTCTTCGTTCCGAAGCTTTGCATCGTATTCCTTGCTCGGAGGATATTTTGGTAAGCTTGAAGGGTCACAAGGGAGAGGTTCCGTTATGAAAAACTGCAAAACCAGATAGGTTACTATGATATGCAAGCAACATAATCAGAAAGCACAACATCAAGAAGAAAATAGAGCAGAGAGTAAAGTAGATGGTCCTAGACATACAAAAGGAACTTCAAAATACCTCACTGCTGAGAGCTGAAGTAGCTGATCCTCTGTGCTCTGGTTCTATGGCAAGTAGTTTATTTACAAGAGCCAAAGCTGAAGAAGGGAAATTTTTAAACGTCTCAGAAAGGCAGCTTTTATAAGGGTGATGAGGTTTGAAGCTGGTTGCATGTGGCAATTTTGTTCTCCGCCAGAACTCCTCAGATGGTGAACCACAGAGCTTGAAAATCTTGTGCATTTGTTCCACCTGAGAAAAACTCAACGATTCAACAACTTCCAATTACTTTTATGCTGATTTCTAGAGCATGTACGAAGAATTAATGACAAAATCGTTTGGTTTATATCTATATACTGTTCATGCAAACTAACAACTTATTGTTTTCTCTTATGTTCTTACAGATTACCAAAAAACAAAACAGGCTAACGAGTAGATGATTAAACCTCTGTTCTTCCTGGCATAATAGGTTTTCCAGCAAATAGTTCAGCGACGATACAGCCACAGCTCCAGAGATCAATGGCAGGTCCATAATCAGTAGCACCGAGCAAAAGCTCGGGTGCCCTGTACCACAACGTCACTACCCGACTCGTCAATGGCTGCTTTTGTTCAGGCTTAAAAAAGGTAGCAAGACCAAAGTCTCCAATCTTGAGCACACCATTACTATCAACGAGAAGATTTGAACCTTTGATATCCCGGTGCAGAACTCCCCGACTATGACAGTGTTCGAGTCCATGCAGCAATTGTTGCACAAAACATTTAATCTGCAGGCACAAAATGACACTTCAATTACAATGGTTTCAAATATCTCCATCACTTCCTTCAGTTTTCATAGATGGCTCAATTTGAATAAGCATTCATTTTCACGTTGGTTCCAGTTCAAGACAAAAAAAAAACTGAAATGCTCAAGCAAGCCAAGAAGAAGATACCTGAGCCTCAGTAAACTTATGTCCAGGAGCTGCTGCGAGACCTGCAAGGTCATGCTCCATGTATTCAAAAACAAGGTACAAGCTGCCTGACACTCTCGAAGTGACTAGACACTCGAGCTTCATAACGTTTGGATGATCAAGTTTACGCAAAATATATATTTCCCTAGCCATAAAACGAACACTTTCTGGATCCATATTTACAAATCTCACTTTTTTCAATGCCACAGTTTTACCGGTTTCAAGGTCACGGGCTTTATACACACTGCTATAAGTTCCCTGTCCGATCTGCATATAAGAACATAATATGATAATCAGCACATACTGATGTATAATGAGAGAGAGATGCACAGAAGAAGAAGTATGATACTCAAAACGGACTAGTCTTTTAACTGGGATTCCTATCTACATTCCCCCCCGAGTAGCCCTCTGATGAAAATTATTCAATGAGGCAGCCACAATGCAGTTTAAAAATCTATGTTGATAGAGGCTCAAAATGCAGTTTTAAAATTCTCCATATACTCCCAAGGGGTGGCCTGGTTGGCTAGGGCCCTAAGTCTCTAAGTAACACCTACCCAAAGGTCGCATGTCCAAATTTTTTAATAAACTTAACAAAGAAAAATCCTTGATGTCTCTGAAACCTTAAGTAGACGCATATGGATATAAAGTTTTCAGCCACATTGTTTCAGCAACCTCAAATAATTTCTCCCCATCACCCATGGCCAGTAACGTTTTGGTTCCCCACACATATGTAACATACACAAAATAACTTCACCCAAAAGAAAGAGAGAGCATTGCATTATCAATAAAAATAGAAGGACAATAGCACTTGACCAATGAGGGGAGGGGTCAATAGTTAAAACCATTTGTGAGAAACTCATTTGAAGGCAAATACATGGTGATGGTGTTTAGACCATCGATTAGATTGCAATCAGTTGCTGTTCAATAGATACATATGTGCATTAGAGTCATCTGATTCTAAAGAATTGAAGTAAAAGGAAATGTTATAACGGGAACTAACTTTGTCTAACTTCTCAAAGGAGTCAGCCCGACGAGGCACCCACCCCTTGATGGCTTCTCCGGCAACCGAAGCCAACCACGAAGGCCATCCAGCCATTACAAGTTCAGTCTCAGCCGCTTTAGACAAGCTAGCCAACCTAAAAACCTCAGGCTGTTTCCCACCTGTTGAAGCATTATCATTATTTGCTTTTCCAGCTTTTACTGATTTATTCTCAGCTTCATCATCCTTTGCTCTATGGTGGTGAGACCCTCCATTGGCCTTTGTTTTATGAACAGAACCCCCCTTTACTTTAGATGCCTGCCTTGACAACTGAATCTCCAATAGCAAATCCTCCCCTTTTGATGGAGAAGGAGCAACCAACTGAACTGAAGATTTGTTCAAATCTTTTTCAGACTTTTTCTGATTGCTATCCTCTGGTTCTGAGGAACTTCTTGAGCAAATGCAGCCCATAGTCCCTCAAATTCGTCCACTCTGATTTCCCTCACGTATATTCAACAAAGTTCTCTACCATTGATTAACCTGCATTTTCCTGGGAAACCCCAAAGTTTCCCTTCTATATCAAAACGCTCACACCCGTTTCATCAAACCTCCTATTTCTTCAACACTCAATGATCGATCCTCAATCCATTTCCATAATTTCCAACCAATCGCAGATTGAACCAAACATAAATCCAAATTGGGAGAAAGAATAGTTTCTCAAGAAATTCAAATGACAAACAAATGAGGAGGAAACCAAACCCTTCCGCGCAAGAAACAAGAAAGAATATCCACCGGCTCTAAAGATAAACACAAACAAAACCCAGATCAGAAATCCCTTTCTCTGATCAGAAAAACCCAGAAAAAAATTTTCTGGGTCAAAAACTTTCCATGAGGAGAATACAATAAAGATCAACAGACAAGAATTAGTTTCGCCATTGTTGACGAAACGAGGGAGGGGAAGAAGAAAATGCAGGAAACAAAAAGGGAAAAAAGGAAAACAGAATCGAGAATATTGAAGCCGATTGTGAAATGGAAAGGGGAGAGAGAGAGAGAGTTGGAGTGGGTAGTGATGAGGTCCTAGAAATGCGAAGGGCCAACCATGTTTGGGGGTGGACAGAGCGTTGCCTGAGCTTTCTTCTTCTCTCTCTTTTTTTTTTCCTTTTTCTCTCTGCAAAATCAAAACGGAAATAGAATCTGAACGGATGAGAGGTAGATTTTGCAAAAGGAAAAAAAAATACAGATTGTTGAAACCCTTCCATGACAGTGAGGAAGAAGAACAGAGGATTTGTGTGTGTGATTCCGCAAGACGTGCATTGCAGTACTGTGTGAGATTCCACATGGCGATGCGTCAACTGATTTATATGGCTGCCTCCGTCTATTCTTTTTAATATTCATTTTCTAATTGAATATAAAATATGTCCAAAAATATCTTTCATTTTTCATCAATTAAATTTTATATAACTATTATAATTCTAATTCTAGATAATTTTTAGTGAGTTGGTATTTTTATTAAGCTAGTAAGAAACACGTGCGGTGTGTCATGATCATGCTCATCCAAGACCTGTGGCTTGTGGTCGCATGCCCATAACAACCTCTTTCCACATACTTTTATGTCATGTATTTAGTTTTGCATGTTATTTATTTTCCCTTATAATTTTGGTGGCGAGTGACTCCTCGCTACTTTATATGTACATGCCTGTCAGATCAAATATGTCTTAGAATGTGCTATAGGGTACACCTAGTCATCCTCCTTACATTGCGTTGTATTTTTGTTTTGCCGCTAATCTATTCTCTTGCATTCAACCAAACAATAACTTTCCAAAATGAACGTTTCCAAAAACTTTTTCTCTAATCCTGTTTTCCAAAACCGTTTTCTCGAGAACGGGGTGGAGGTTGCGACATATAATCATTGTGCCACCAACTATTCGATTTCTTATTGGTTGACTTGCTAGAGGGTGGAAGCAAGTGTCGCACAAAGCTATATATATATATTCTAACTTGTTATATTATAAATTTTGAGAGGAGTTTCTGGGAGAGCGAAAATTAATTTGAGTCGGTGAAATTTGTAAGGACAAAGATTAAATATTTTGAAATAAATGAAAAAATAAAAATAAAAATAAATGGGGAAAGTGGCGTGGGAGAGTAAGAGAAGTAAAGAATGAGAGAGAAATTTTATGTTGAAGGATAAAATTATCCAAAAATAAATATGAAAATATTTGAATTAAAAGGGAAACAAATTCTCCTATAGCCGATTTTATATATACTAGTCAACAACACGTGCCAAGTAATTTTGTCATTTAAATACAAATTTCTACTCAATTACGCTAATTTGAGCTCTCTTTCTAAATAATATCTCTCAATGTTTGTATAATATATATATATATATATATATCAATTTTTACAAATTTTCTCTCCCTTTTTAAATATTAATTTTTGTCCACGTGCAACATTTTTCCCTTCTAAAAGTAAATTTAATGGAGAATTATTTTTGTAACCACTTGATCTGACCAATGTAAATTTAGTGGAGAATTATTTTTGTAACCACTTGAGCTGACCATTTGGTCATAGATAGATATTTTAACCACTTGAGCAATGTTCGATTTGACTTAATATTTGTATTAATATAGTAAATTACGTCCCAAAATAATAAAAATACAACTTTAATTAAAAATAAAATAAAATAATTATTATTTTCTATTAATATTCTTTGAAAACACCCCAAAAAAACAAATATTGGAAATATCAAAAGGTATGGACTTTTTATTTTATGTCTAATAAATTTTTGAATTTTTAAGTCTCATTGTATATTCATTTCGTTTTTAATTTTACGTTTTTAAAAATTATGTTTGCTTCCTCATCATTTCTTTGGTATGTTTTCATATTTCTTATAAACATATTTGAATTCTTAACTAATTTTTAAAAATAAAAATGTTTTTTTTTAGTTTTTAAATTTTAGCTAAGATTTTGAAAATATTTTTAAAAAGAGATAGTAGAACAAATAAATACATAGGTGAAAATGGTGTTTACAAGCTTAGTTTCGAAAATAGAAAACCAAAATCCAAATGGTTATCAAACTTGTCATAAAAAATTAGAAGCATCCATATTATCCAACCACGAGAATGATTAGATTATGTCTTATCATGATTTGATCCACCGTCGTTTCAACTCAAGGCACTCTCGAATTTCTCCTGAATAATGATGAATTTCGAGAAAGCCAACGACTATCATCCACTTCAATTCAATTTTAACTCTTCTATATCTTCGCTATCAATTCTACCTTTGATTGCCCTTACGCAAGCTGCCGTTTCCAAAGCAGGAGAATAAACGCCAAAGAGAATTTTTCAATCACATTTGTTCAACCGTCTCTTGAGTTTTTGTTGGCAAGAGAAAAGTGAGGAGAACTACTTATACATGGAGGGGAATTAAAGAGGAAGATGAAAGGATTTTGGGAGCAGAACACTTATGGGAGATAATGGGGGAAATTGAATAGTTTGACTGTTTTTGGGAGCTTAATGGGCTTTTCTTCTAGTGAAAATTTCACCGGTAAGTTAATAAATTATTGCTTTTGTAACATTATTTTTCATTATTAAAATAATACCAAAACCTTGTATTTTAATGACAAAATTGTCCTCAAATTAATAGCGAAAAGAATTAAAAATATAGAAGGGCAAAGTTGGGATAAAAAATTTCTCCCTATAGATATAGATAATATATAATATAATATACTAGTAATATATTAAAAACAACAACTTCAAATGAGTTATAGGAGAATTAAAAGAAGTATCACTTAGAACCATATTTAAAAGTCATACTAAGTATTAAAGTTTTAAATATTGACGTGGATGAAAATGTCTAAATTTTAATTTTATATAAATATTAAAAAAATATCGATGCGAAAAATTTATGAAAAATATTAAAATTAACACATAAGCATTTTACTCTTATTAAATAAGTAATAGTTGAAAATAAGTAATAGTAAAAGTAGAACCCAACTTGATGCTACTTCATCTAATCCATCCAACCCAACCCTTATAGTTTGAGTTGGATTCATCGGGTTGTTTGATCGATGTTGACACTTTGTCGGCCGATGGCTTTGGTTGTTGGATCTCAATGGGTTTTGCCCTGTACTACTGATCTGTTGAGCTTTTGGATTTAGACTTCCTTTCTTCCTTCTTCTAACATGGGCTCGTCCGAAATTTACTTCTTACTTTGTAGTGTGCTCATCAAGTTCGACTTTATTTCTCCCATATTAATGTTCTTACAAAATTAATATTTTGGATAGAATTGCAAAAAAGATTTGACTTTCTTAGAGATTTTATGACTAGATTTGAATTTACTGTGATTGGACATTGCTATATACATGAGTATTATTGATTACTGTAGCAATATAGATACTACTTTATATTTAGTCCCGTTGTTTTATTTAAGTATGATGCGAGGTCCAATAAAATTAAAGAATTATTTATAAATAAAAATGGAAAAAACTTGGCTCCTTTATTTACTCCTTAATATCATTAAATATTTGACAACTCATTATTACTTTTTTATTTTTCATTTCTCTCTCTTAATTGTCGTCGGGAGGAAATTCCTCTTTTAATTTAAGGAGCCAAGTTTTTTCCAATAAAATTTTTTTATTGTGTAATTGGAAAGAATAAACTCTAAATTTTATTATTATAATTTTTTAATTTTTAGAGAAGAAAATTTACCTTTTTTAACAGAGTGCCTCATTTTAGTCTTTTTCTTTTCTCTGCTGATTCATATTTTCTAGATTCAAATTAGTTGGAAACAAAATATATAGGTGAAATGAGTGGGTTTAGTTGTGCAATGAATTCTACTCCATTAAAAAAATAATAATAATAAATAAATAATAAAAAGAATAAAAAATCTTCTGCAAGGGACAATCAAGCCTTTGAAACTAGGTCAAGTCAAATAGAGATATCGGGGGAAGTTAACACATTTTATTGGCTAGGTTTTGGTTTATGAATGTTAGCTAATTAATTTGATTACGATGTTTTTCAGTTTTATTTTGATGGAGATGTTAGTTTAATTCCTTATTTAATTTTTAGTTTTATGAAACTAGAAATTATAAGTTAAAATTGTGCAAAAATAAATGATTTTTTTAAAGAAGAAAAAACTCACACAACCCAATTCTATTAAATAATCAAATATAAAATTGTCTACGTAAATATAGCTCAATTAATCAAATCATTAACTTATATTTCTAAAAGTCGAAGGTTCAAATTCTCTCATTAGATATATTAAATATGGCGGTGGTTATAAAATAAGTACAAAGCATAAATAATTTCAATTACACTCATGAACTTTCGGACAAGTTTTAGTTATAACTTTCAAAGTCTCATTTAAAACATTCAACTTTTAAAATGGTTCAAAATAACCATTCTGGCAGCTTCTTTGTTAAAATGAAGATGAAAAAGTTGGTTATTTGGTCTATTGGTGCAAGCATCACCATTAAATCCAGAACCATCACCATGATGCAGGTTCGAATCTCATTATACTCAAAATGAAGATAAAATAAAATATGGTGATGAGATGAAGGAAGGAAAATGGGAAATCTTTAGGAATGGCTATGCTAATATAAAATCAAATTAGATATAAGATTAAATTATCCATACACCAAATAAGTGCGGAGTCGGACAAGGTAGGGAATGTGTTAGCACCCTAAATTATCCTATGTTATTTGGTCCAAAAAAATATACTTTTTTTTTTATTTTAAATGCCTCATGTTATATTAATTCATATCTTATAATAAGATATGAATTAATAGATAAAAATAATAATAATAAATAAATAAAATAATTTTAATTTTATGAAACATTAAGACTTGAACTTGCGACATGAGTGTTAATACTAAAACATCATACCAATGTGCCACCACTTTGAGATATAAGTTCTACTCTTTTTTAAAATACATATTTTGTATTTTTGAATTTTGTTTAAAAAAAAGAAAAAAAAAACTCTAAATGAAATCTTTTATTTAAAATAATTATTTAGTAAAAACAACGATAAAATGAAGCATTCAAAGACTCGAACTTGGGTCATGTACATTAAAAAACAAATATCTTATCACTATGTCAAAATCATAAGATGTTTTAATTTACACAGACAAAAGTTTTAATTTATTTTTTTAAACTAAAAAAAAACTACGAATTTTGTTAAATTAAAACAAAAAAAAAATATCTTTTTTTATTTATTTCGAAATTAACAAAATTATTTAAAAGAAAGAAAAAAATTTATTTAAAAACAAAGCCAAATTTACTTTAACAAAACTTATTTGCTAAAAAACGG